CCCTCCCGCGCTAGCCTAAGGGCCACCTTAGCAAAGCGCATCCCAGGCTGCATAGCCGCACTACCCTACCCAACCATACCACACATAAACATGACACTACCCCCGGGGTTTACACAGACGAGCCGGCGAAGCAAGAAGAGCGCCAGAAGAAAGGGCCCTAGCCGGCGGGGCCCAGCCAGGACAAAAGGAGGTCCCACAAAGCGCCTACACCGGCCGCATTTGCGGTCGGGGTAGACGACGGATGGGGCCCACCTACGAAGGCTGTCCAGGCCTACACGAGATGAGGCAGGATAAAGAGGGATAATCCCCCTCGATCCCAAATCATTGAGGCCAATTTCTAGCCATAGAATAATGGCGCGTGTTATTCGACAGTTTTAAATAGGTTATATTGACAGTATTCCCATATAGTACATCTCTCTAATCTATGATTAAGCGATCTATATTTTCGTAAATGACATGCGCTTGCGCAATTACTAACATTTCTGAAAACATTAACCAGCATTGTTTACCTGTGTTGTCAAACAGCAAACACCCACCATTTTAGTTTAAATGTTCAGTATCACTCACACAGAGAAATAAATATATAAATAGTCATCTAAAAGAGATGGGTGATCCGGCAAGTATGATGGGGCACACAGGGGGCGGCCTTATGCCTCCTCAACCCTACGGAATGCATCCCCAAGGTGAGGCCCCAGCAGGAGGTGAAAACGAGCCTAGAAAGCAAGACATCGGTGAAATCTTGCAGCAGATAATGAACATAACAGATCAAAGTTTGGACGAAGCACAGGCCAGGAAGCATACATTAAACTGCCACAGAATGAAGCCTGCTCTTTTTTCGGTGCTATGCGAGATTAAAGAGAAAACTGTCCTATCTCTTCGTAACACACAAGAAGAGGAACCTCCAGATCCTCAACTGATGCGGTTAGATAACATGCTCATTGCCGAAGGAGTAGCTGGTCCAGAGAAAGGGGGTGGTGCTGGCGCCGCAGCTTCCGGATCAGCTGCCGCACAAGCTGGGCAACCCGACAATGCAATCGAACACTCTGATTACCGAGCTAAACTGGCACAAATCCGCCAGATCTATCACCAAGAATTGGAGAAGTATGAACAGGCATGTAACGAGTTTACCACCCACGTTATGAACCTTTTAAGAGAACAAAGCCGTACTCGTCCCATTACCCCTAAAGAAATCGAACGCATGGTTCAGATCATTCATAAAAAGTTCAGCTCTATTCAAATGCAACTGAAACAATCTACTTGTGAGGCGGTTATGATTCTCAGATCACGGTTTTTGGATGCCAGAAGGAAGCGGCGCAACTTCAGCAAACAAGCGTCAGAAATCCTGAATGAATACTTTTATTCGCACCTCTCCAACCCGTACCCGAGCGAAGAGGCTAAAGAAGAACTGGCAAGAAAATGCGGTATTACGGTAAGCCAAGTGTCCAATTGGTTCGGTAATAAGAGAATTCGGTACAAGAAGAACATCGGTAAAGCTCAAGAAGAGGCCAACCTCTACGCTGCTAAAAAAGCAGCAGGGGCATCTCCATATAGCGGTACCCCCACACCAATGATGTCTCCCGCGCCTCCCCAAGACTCTATGGGTTATTCCATGGGCTCTACCTACGAAAGTGCAGCTTACGATGCCAGTAGCTGTGGCTATGATCCTATGCATGCTCAAGAGTTGTCACCTTAGGTAAAACTTTAAAATTAAGTAAAGATACTACCGACGTATACTATACTTGTATACCAAACAGAGTATACTAATTTTTTTTGTATTGTGCATTATATACCGAGTCTGTTTATTCGTCAACTGTTCGGCGGCTGATTAGAGAACATAACTTGCCATTGGGTGCGAACGCAAAAGAAAGTAGTTTTTCCTACTTGAAAATTGCCACCGTGGAATTAATGAAATATCGGTGATATAATCTTGGTTATATATCTAACAATTACAACAGAAGTGTAAGAACAAACAGTGCAAAAGAAATATGGACAGCTTTAATAAATTCTTGTTTGTTTATGTGCTTCGTTAACGATATGAATTTTGAAGAAAATAAGTATTAATGCGTCACGGGAAACTAACTTTCCTCGGCTTTGTACCCATTTATAGTATTAAATAACTTTAGTTCATATTGCATATTTTTATTATAGCACAATATTCTATGAGATTATATTTTATTTGTTGAAGTTTTTTTTGTTAAACAGTATATATTATATGGTATCAGCTGACTTTTAAACAGACACCAGGCTATTTTAGATAATATTTATGTGGTGATTTTTTAAACTGTTACATGAAACGTTTTTTAATTCGTATATGATTTTATGTATCAATCTCTGTACTTTACAAATAGAGAATAAATTAATATTTGAAGAACTTGGAAAGCTTTCCTTTATTCCATTTTTTATTAGTAAACTAGACAAAATTATCGCATTACATATGTAATGCGGGCCCCAGTTTTGAGGTTCAATTTCTTGTGAATAGTTAATATGTTTTTAGTTCGTTATAGTAGATTGTTACGCTTTAATTTCATTTTGTTTCTCGATTAATAACATAAGGATGAATATAAATAAACATTTTCAGAAAAGTTAGGAGTAGAATAGAAGACTTAAATTTATATTAAAGTTAATTGTATTACTTTAAAGAACCAGATTAAAAATTCATTTTAAAACTAAAACTAAAACATTTCTAACTGATTTTACTAACACCAGCATAAAGCAGTAAGTTAAAAATAGAAATTAGTTCACATTTATTTTTTCAGCTAAATATTTTCTTTATGATCATAAATTAGAAGTGTTTAGATTTATATCTGCTGTAAACTCCATGAAAAAACAGTTGGAAGTAATTATTTAGTTTGATATGGTTGGATTTGGGATAGTTCCAGCTAGTGAAAATTGAAATCATATTTTTTATAAAAAGACGGGACCCATATCGTCTTTTGGGAGACGATTTCTAGGTCCACAAAGAAAACTTTCTTACTGAAAAAATTTCAAATGAAATTTACTAAATAAGGAGTGCTTACCTTGGGATTTAAAAAAGGGAAGTATATGTGCAGAATATTACTTTTTCATAATCAACCAATACTAAGGTGTTTTTTTATTTTTCAAAAAATTAAATTTTTTTCGTAGTTATACCAATTTAAATTTTAATTTGATACTAACATTCCATTTTTCCAAAGTGATTATCTGGCATCTAGTCGTTGTATTTAAAAATGTGTACTTGTTAACTGGTTTACAACGAATTTATCTGCTTCTGGCCATGTTGCAATCTAAACTGTTTGAAAAAAACAATTTTTGATAGATTAGATAATAATTTTCTGTTACACCATTAGTGAAATAGTTTAGTTAAGAAAATTAAGAGATTTTAAGAACATAATTCAGAATACATAAAGTTCCTATAGATTTCTAGGTTCTAGAATCGGACTAATTTGAAATAGGTATTCACATTTAAAAATATAAATATTTTTCATGTTATGTATTAATATTTCTAATATATTAATATATCATTCTCTGAACCAGCAACAACAAAAATCAACACTTGGACGAGTGCAAGAAGGGTACTAATCGTGGGTCCACCCCCACAGAGCCTAGCTTGAGAACAACAAAGGCCGGTCAAAGTTCCCTAGCTAAGACTAAAGAAGTGCAATGCAAGTCTGTAACTGGCGGTGTCTGGCATAACAACTCAAAAAACCGCGGTAAAAACCATTTAAATATGATAGTAATGATAACGATATAGTGATGTGATGGTAACGTTGTAATCTAATTGAAGGTACTCAAATAAAAGCATCACCATAAAACACATAATATAATCTATTCCAGGAAGATTTGAAATATTTTTCATGCAAAAAAGTATGCTCTATATAGTTTTTATTCTTCAATTACCACCATTGTGAACTAGAATCATTCAAGAGCAGGTAAAACTGGTAAATTTGGATAAAATTTAGGTCCATATTTCTTGATGTAAGATAATTTTGCCTGTATAATTAAAACCAGAACTATATAAAGCTTGGGTGTACTCGAATAAATAAAAAAAATGTAAATTAAATAAAAAAAAGTGAAATGATTTTTATTTATTTAGATTCTCCATACTTAGGGGTTGAAAAAATTACAAAAATGAAGAATTTTTATATTAGCAATTGATATAAAAACTATTAGCATGAGAATTATTCTCGAATGAATTATCTTAATATATTTTTTAGATTTTTTAAAATTATTTGATATTCTCTTTTTTGGGGATGATTCCACCCCCTGAGCGCGCTTAAGGGTGGATTTTCTAATTCAACATGCTTATTTCAGTCATGAGAATAAATCTTTCATTGTATCAAGAATCATTCGATAGAAAAATTTACATGCTGATAGTTTTTATATTTATTGGTAATATTCAATTCTTCATTTTGGGCGTCTTTACAATCCCTAAATAGGGGTGATTTTTGAAAATATTCAAAAAACTAAAAGCTACACTCATCTTAATTTTTTATGAGAAATTTGAGACCAAAAACATATTTTTATCTATTTTCTTTAGTTGTCTGCGAATTGTGAAAAAACGGGCGATTTTTGCGGTCACTCTTTAGATTGTACGTCACACGTACTGGTTAAGTCCATCCAGGTTACATAACTGCAAGAGGTCAAAGTCGACGTTTGATCACCTTCTTAATGAGAACATTTCGAAACCTGGGCGAAATAGGGGTTTCCTGTCTGGTAGAAAACATAGTCTGGCATGGTCCCTTGGTCTTCTCTGATGTCACCTTCATGTGTGTTCTGACTCAGTAATATCTTGGTTGTCAGAGCAGTTTTTGGTTCTGTAGCGCAGATCAACGTTTGGATTGAAAGCCACGAAATTTGAAGATTGCTTACAGTCTTTGTGCAATAGAATATATCCATGTTTATAAATAAGTTTTTTTTTTTTATTTTGACAAGTTCTAAGAGCAGTAAAGTTTGCTATATGCAATTTGGAACATCATTAATATAGTAAAAATGGAAATAATTATGTTCACAGAATAATTTAATGACATCCAAAGATCACAGTTGAATTTTTTTTTAAATATAGGAAGATAAGAGAAATTCACCGATATTTCCAAATCTATGGAATTGCCCGATAATTCCAGGTTTTCCCTGTCTTCTAGTTTACTATACACCCTATGAATGTCAAAATTAATTCTTAATGACAGTCATCTAATAGATCTTGTATGTATAATAGCATTAGATTAGATTACTCAGATAGGAGAGTCCGTGGATCTCGACGGCCTACCAACGTCAGAATTTGTGGCCGTCAGCCCTAATCTTGGCTTATCTGCCAGCGAAGCTTATAAACGCAACGGTTGTAGTAGCTAATTTAGTTTTCAGCAACGTGACATCCAATGGCAGCACCTTGTATTTGTAAATAAAAAACCGTTTACAATTTTCCTAACACTTTCCAGACATGTCCAGATTTTTTAATTTGGCATACATCCTGTGGTTCGTCAGGAATAAAATAAAAAATATATATAATAAAAATGTTTTAATCCATAATCATAGTGAGTATACAATTAAATCAATATTAAACATGGTTTTCAAAATATAAAACAGAGTCCAATACTATTTCACAAACGGAACAATGATAAAAGTAAGATCCCAAGAACATATAATACTATTAACGCGTCGTTTTGGTCAATTTTTTTTTTTAAAAAGGTGGTTCTAATTTTTCTTATAATTCAAAACGGGTTCGTAAATTTTTTTAATAATCTTTTTCACACTAAACAAGTCACTGTGTTCCACCTGCTTCGCGAGATAGCCTAAAATCGTTTCATCTAAGTAAACTCTAAATTCATTTACAAAATTATCATTTATTACATAACGTTCTAAAAACTTAACCGTTGATTTTAAAGCGCATATCACAGACAATTTAGTTTTATATAACATCATCGGCGAGGGATGTTTTAGAAGCGAATCCAGTAAAATTGTCGTCACTATTAAAGTATGTTCCTCTATAAATATTGATTTGTCTTCGTAACTTAATCCGTCTTCTAAAGGCCACAATAGTTTATGGAGTAAACAGACGCACAGGTCCATGAACGGCACGTTTTCCGCATACAAATTCACCTCGCCGCGTTCGAAAACCTAGGAAAAATACCTCGATTAGCGAATTGTACTCGTGTACGAGGTAACTTGATTTTTTTTAATCTGACTAATGAATAAGATTATCTAAAAATATTGGGGGTTTTATATAAAGGGTGTAACTTTAAGTGCGGGTCAGTTTTTTTAAAAAGTATTTATTTTATTTATTTTTTTAATTTAGGTGAACTACATAACTATCCACTTAATGTATTATGAGAACAGGGCACTAGGCGGACAACAAAAGGCCAACATTAATTCAGCAAAACAAGTAACGCTTCATTTTTTACATTTATTTTAGTTTTGAGTTTATTGGTTTACGAGATGTCATTTCGCCTCTTTCTGAGCGAAGTATTAATTTTTACTGAAATCAAAATAGAGTAGTACAATGTTTTTGTGTAATGTAAGTGTATGACCTTATTATTATATTAAGTTATTTATTTCGATGTTTAGCGATGGTACTATGTGTTTGTTAGTCTTTACTGTTACATTTCTTTCTGATATTTCAAAATAACATGCAAGAATCAAGAAAAGTAAGCGCTCATGGCTAGTGCTCACAATTATTTGACGTTACACTAGCCTGTTTAGCGATGTATCAAAATTAAACAAAAAGAGTTAAAAATATGCAGTTTTACGACGGAATTTGGGACAATAAAGTTAAAGCTTGTGTTCCCAAAAGTCAAAGATAGCCTCTATATAAAATGACCCCCAATCAAAGTTACATCCTGTATACTATACATTGGAAAAAGATTTACATTTGGGAAATGGGGTGTTAAAGCCAACTTAACATGCAACACTTTTTTATTGAAATTCTACTGTTTTTGACAGTGAAAAACCAGCGTTTAAATATATTTTAAATTTTTCATTTATCATTAAGGGAGGTGGTTATTTTTATACCTACCAATTTCTAAAGTTTGATAAAAGTAAAAAACATGTCACTGTGTACCACGTGTCCCATTTTAATAGATACCCCCGATCCAAGAATGACCTAAATGAAAGTTGACTGTAACAGTGACTGAGTATCAATTGAAGGTCAACTTCATAATTTTAAATGGGACGTTCTATTTTTTGCCCTGGAAATGGATTCGCAAATTTTGCATCCGGATGTGATTTCAACTTTGACCTTGCGATCAATGTCAAGGTCATAGCGAGTTCAAATGATTCGTCACCTCTGAAGCAGCCTCGGAATAAGATCTTTGCCCCTAAAGTTGATGAGAGTTCAGGTCAATCATGACCTTGGCCTACAATGTAATTTGAAGGTCGACTGCAAAAATTGACCTTAATTACCTCTACAAATGTTGTTAAGGATCTGTATTCCTGATATTGGACATTATCAAATCGCAGGAATAAATAGTGTGACGAATGAGTGCAGGGAGGACGAAAAAAGTCTCATTACTCAACAGAGGCATAACTCTGAATTGAAAAAGACATATTTGAATATGTTGCAAAGTAAGTGATATTGAGTTACGAAGAAATATTGAAAAAAACTTTAAAATATAAAAAGAAGCAGTCGACCTTTAAATGACCTTCAAAATTAAATCCAAGATCACCGATCAATGGTCCCAAACTCCTTAAAAACATTTATAGAGGTCATCAAGGTCGATTTCTGTAGTCAACTTTCAAATGACATTGTAGACCAAGGTCATGATTAACTAGACTTTGGGGGCAAAGATCATATTCAGAGGTTGCTTCAGGGGCGATGAATCATTTGAATTCGCTATGACCTTAATCTTGTTTCTAAGTGTAAAAAATGGATGGTTCTATTTAAAATTATGAAGATGACCTTCAACTGACAAGGTAACGGTTAAGGTCAAATCCAAGGTCAGCAGCTGCTTTTCGCCAATGAACTGAACAACTTTCATTTTGGTCATTTTGGATTGGAGGCTTCACTGATGAGACATTCACGTTATCGATTACAATGGGACACGTGGTACATTATAATATTTGCAGGAAAATATTTAATGATAGGAACTTATAATAAATTACAAATGTTTTCTTTTTCAATAGGTTATTTTAAAAGTTATACCATTACCTCGGATGCGTCATTTGAAGAATCAGGAAAATGACGGCATGCCCAAGAAAATATAAAACAAATTGCTCTATCCTTTGGCAGTGTTATGTAACATAAATTCAGTAAATCCTCCCTAGCTTTTTCCGGCAATACTGGCCATCGATGTCCTGAACTAAACATAAAATAATTACATAACGTAATTCATCACTTTTCTTGTATTTCATATTTATACAGGATGTAACTAAATGCATTGTCAACTTTTGATGGTGAATTCTGTGGCAAATTAACAAAAAAAATGTTGGAAAATGCTTCGTTTTTGAGATACAGGGTGTTCAAAATGTAAATACACAGTTTATTTTAAGTAAAAATTGCTAAGTCCATCCCCGAATTTGCGTGCTTAAATTTGAATGAAATCGCTTCATTGATTTTCTTGTAATATAAAAAAAATAAGCGTTTCTGGAAACTTGTTTATACAAACTTTTATCATTAATTTGTGTCGTAAAATCAGCCATTAAAATTTTATCAAGCATTGTGACTAACACACTGTATACAACGTGTCTAAGATAAGGATGTCTTGCATGGGATGAAGACATCAAAAATAATAAACAATCAGGAACAGGATAGTTGAAATTAAAAAAAAGTTGCTCTATTTTAGGATCATTAAAATGACATAAACATGTCATATATGATTTTATTTTTGATATATAAAAAAAATGAATTTTCCAAGTTTCAAACTGCACTGCCTACTAAACGAACTTAATTTTTGTTTATCCGAGATCTGTTTACGTTAATCCAGTGTGTCCCTAAAGCAACTTTTTTTTTTTAGCAGCTACATGTCCTTAACTGCTTTCATATCCCCACGATACACATCCTAATCTTTAATAGCGTAAATTATCCTGCTTAGAAAAAATACATACAGCGTTTGTTTTGCGTTTTTATTTAAAGTGATCTTAATTTTCAACGCAGACGCAAAACTGCTCATGGCATTTCGGACCATCAACTCGTCGTCCTCCAGTAGAACCATCACGATACTCAAAACCATTTGGAGCTCGTCACCTATGAAAGCAAAATTGAACGGGAGGTTTAAAAGTGACGACAAAATTTAAAGATTGTGTTTTTGTTTCTATTCACGTTAATCACAAAATATTGTTCTCATATTGTGATTGTTCTCATTTTCTCATTTTGACTGTCATTCTTTGAAATGCTGGATATTGTGTTGTCTCACAGTAAAATTATTACTCTACAGGGTGTTTAGAAACTTAGAAATTGTTTAATAAGCATAACTATCTTGTTTTTTAAACAAGGCAAAAAAATTAAAGAAAAAAGTTCAAACATATTAAAAATTACAGGAGTGGAGAAGGAAAGACACGTCATTTTTTTTACATGATTACATATCAAACCTTTTTTTGAATCTTTGAACAAAAAACTCTCCCTTGTACATTAGCACAGCCATTTATGTATTTTTTATTGTTTCTCGAGAATTTAATAGGTTTCTTAAAACAGTACAAAATATATTCTGGAAGTATTGTGAAACAAATAAAGAAATTTATGAACAAAGTACAATGGGATGATTTTCGCTACACTATACTAACGGATGAAAAAAAAATAATAATGTTTTATTAATTGTAAGCAAATTCACTTGCTTAGCTCACTGCAATTTGCAAATTTATCAAAAAAGAATATGTAGAAGTTCATAAATCTTCTGAGTTGTAATGCCATGGCCTTTGTACTTGGTTGCCGTCACTTCCAAGATTATTTTTCACTCCCTTAGCCTTAGCTAGGATTATTTGACCTGCCCTTGTTGTTCTCAGGCTAAACTCCGTGGTGGACCAGTTATTAGAACTTCTAGGCCTACCCTGATGTCCATTTCCCCCCACTGAGTTTAGCCTGAGAACAAGGGCAGGCCAAAAATTTTTAGATAAGGCTAAGGAAGTGAAAGGTAATTCTACAAGGTGCGGCAAGATAACTTCCTTAATATTTGAAATGAGCGCTCTGAAGATGATGGAAGTCCCAGACGGCTGTGCGTGGTCTCGTTCGAGAGGGGGATCCTAAAGTTTTGTTAACTTGTGTCTCAGACTTCATCATGCGTTGGAGTAAAGAGAAGCGTGAATTTGCGTTAGAGGCCTATTTTTCAGACGGCCGTTCGGTGGTTTCAACCCAACACGCCTTCCGAAATCGCTTTAACACGTTGACTGCGGTACATACCCCGGGGGGTATGTACTAATTATAAAAAATATGCGAATCTCAATAATTACATTTTTACTGTATCTTGTGGAAGTTGCAGAATTTGTAGTTTTTAGAAATAATGATTTATCTATTATTTTCTTTTCAAAACTCTTTGCGAATGAAAACGCACATCCTATCATAAGACTTGAGAACATCGGAGCGACTGTAATGCTCGAAGACGCGCTTGTATTTTTGACTGACGAGGCTCATTTTAATTTTCTTTTTGTGGGGATATTTGAAATCCCTTGTCTATACCAACCGCCCACACATGATCTGATATTCAGGAAGAAACAGCCAACAGACCATAATATGCTGAAGAGAGTGATAAGAATCAGCAAAATTCAGTTCAACTAGTGTATCGACAATAGGGGGCATCACTTACTTGATATGATTTTTAAAAATATTTAAACCATCTTTAAATATTTAGCTTTTTAATAAAAAAAAAATTGAAAATATGTCTTTACTACTTTTTGTTTTATTGCATTGTGAAATAAGGAAGTTATCTTGACGCACCTTGTATAACTGGCGGCGACAAGATACGAAAACGCTGGCATAGTAATCTGAATAACCAGCATACTTTAAATCTCAGCATAGGCCGTGCAAGCCCTAAAACTACTCAGGAGCCCTGCATTTTTTGTTTCTTTAAAAAGTTGTATCGAAAAAGTAAAGATGTTTTAATTCCATGCTGTATCAGGAGAAGCTGATAAACGTAGTTTTTTTGTACTATCAAAGAGTGATCCAAAATTTCGCCCATTTCGTCGACCTCACGAATTCGATTCAAAAGTGGTCTAAATGATAGCATTGTGGTGATATTTTAGAGTAGGCAAAACTTTAAGTTGTGCATAGTTTTTGTTTTGGAGATATGACAAGTCGAACCTGTTAGTTGGCTTGTTCACGCTTGTTCTCGTTCATTGTGTTCAAGATTCTCAAATATGCAAAGTGTACAATTTCCTATGTAAAATCTTTCGTTCTTTATGAATCTACCATTAGATTTTACCAAACATTTTGTTTTAATGAGGTACTGCCGATTTTACAAAAAAATCAGGATTTTTGCTGAAAATATTCAATTAATCAGTATTTTTATACTGGAGACTTACAAAATCTCGATAGATACTCTAAACCTTGTATCTGAAGGACTTTGAACTAGGATAATTTGGATGTAACATTAGGTTTGGTTATATTACTGAAAGTATTTCAATAATACGCAAGCCTCTTCACCACGTCACAGTACTAATTGTTCTTGTTTTGTTATTTTTATTTTTAATTTTTTTCTTTTTTTTTCCATTTTTTTTAATTTTATATTTTTTAGCGTTTTTTAATTTTTTTTCAAATTCACAAATAAATTTATATTTGAAGCGAATCTTAATAGCAAGTATATTTAAGTATGTGAATCTGCTTCTTTTTGTAGAGAAACAGATACGTCGCAAATATCTGGATTCGGTATATGAACTCCTTCATACTGTGCATAACCCGGATACCAAACTTAATAAAACATCATGTTGTTGACTATGCTTTTTGCAAGCAATGAGTTTACATTTTCATCACTCAGATCATGTAAAATAATATGCAACTATCAGCTCCCAAATTTGCCAAAAAACTGATTGTTCCCCAAACCGAGTGACTTCTTTTTAAGTGTTTGCTATATCTTTTAAATGGATATATAAATCCATCAAGAATTGCTATGTTTTTAGTATAAAAATATCGTTCAATCAGTTATTTAGCAAAAATGCAAATTATTTTTTACAAAAATATTTTATAACTTTCTTGTACTATATTTTTGGTAAAATATACTGAAATATTCGAAAAGAACGGAAAACTTTACGTTGTAAATGTTACTACTTGTATTTGTTGAGAATTTTAAGATAACGTAAGAGGTCACCGAGAATGTCAGATACACCTTGGCGTGGATGAACCAAATAACGAGTTTAACTTGAATTCTTGAGGTCGACGAAATGGGTGAAAAATAGTGTTTTTTTGGGTCACTCTTTGTTTGCCCGCCTAAAATTCCAATGCTTACTTACCACTCAAAATAGGGTCCTCGTTGCAGTACAATATATAATTTTTCGACAGGAAATCACAAACGGCCAACCGCCTGAAATCACTAGCTGCCGGCGACGCCGATTCAACTAAAATCTGTATCAGCTGGCTGTAACTCAACACGTTATAATCTAGCTGTAATAAAAACGTGCTTATACAACTAACTACAGCACTAATAAGCTCTTCGTTATCACAGTTGCAGAAGTTAATCAGCATGTTAAGGGTCTCTTGTTTGCTTAAATTTAAATATTTTATCACGCAGGGGTAGTAGTTAAGTAACAAAAATAAGAGGACTTGATCTTCCTTCTTGATGTAGTGTTGGAACTTTATCTCTTCCGTCAGGAAACATTTCAGATACGGGTGTATGTGGGTCAGTATCTTCTTGACGGAGTGTCGCTCGAAGCTATCCACTAACGTTACTATTTCCGGGGGAATCTGCAGCTCCTCCATCTGGAATAAGGCGTGTTTGGAGGACGTGTCGTTTTGTATTTGATTCATGTAGATCAACAGGTTGAGACAGAACCGTTTCATCTCCATATTGTGTCCGTACAACTGGGACATTATTTGGTTGGTTATGGTCGGATATGTTACTTCGCACTCGTCGTATTTGTTCACAATGATGAAGAGAACAAGCAGCATCCGCATCTGCGGAAACTTTCCCATGGAGGTCATCGGCAATAGATTTGATGTTATTTGTCTCGAGAGCAGGGTTAGAATCTCTTTCAGCATGCTAATGTCATCATATTTCTTGAATCTGAAACATGTTTATGTATTTGAGATGCACGGTACCATACGATTTTTCTGAGTACCAGTTATTTTCATTCTGATACTCGATATTTTGTATCGATATTACAGCTTACGATATAATACGATCTGGCTTATTTTCTGCCAGTACCTATATGCAGTGAAGTGACCCTTAATAATTGAGCTATTGCTCGTACTTTCCGAAAAAGTCAGTTGCTGTCTTTAAATGTTAGTGATAATTGTATTCCTTTTTTTTTATTGTAAAAAAATTAAAATGCAGCATTTCCCCAATTGCAGTCGAGTTAGATATCTGTTGATTTGTTCTTATTATGCTGTTTTGTGTTTATAATGCAAAGTTGACGATATTTTAAGTTTTTTAAGGATTGGCAACATATTAATTTAAAAAAAAACTGTGTACCAAACAGCCTATATATGTTTTTAAATGAAAAAGCAAAAATGGTACCAGGGAACGTAGAGCCAAAAATATGAGGATTGAAGTAAAAATACCTTATATGAAAGTTGCACCCCTGAGACAATATACCCTCTTAGAGGGGATTGAAATTCACATTTTAATTTTTTTCTTTAACATGAGGAATGCTAGAGACACGAAATTTGATATGAGCATCCTACTAATAAAGAGACTTCAATGTTTGTTAGATCATTGGCGTATTTTATAAAGGAGTGAAACAGTCAACCCCATTGCAATATTTTATTAGAAATTTTTTTTATATGAAGTAAATTATTTAAAAATATTTATTGGGAAGACTGATTCATTGCGCAACTTTTTTACCTCTTGTAATTTTTCGATATAACCAATAGTTTTCTAGTAAAAAAATTAGATGCGTCATCGTTCACTAAAAGGGTAATTGCAAAAACTTGTAAAAATAAAGTAGGCGGATGTCATAACAAATAAATTGTTATTTATCATATTAATAAATTGACACTTTCTGTCAACCGATAATTAGTACCAATTGATTAATTTATTATCAGTTATAATATCACAAGAGCATAGAAAGAGCGTAGCTGGAGTGATGTTTTAAGGATATACGTCGAGTGAGGAGTCGTTTGCTCGAGTGGTATTCGATAAGATTACATAATGAATTAACTAACTTTATTGGTTACTAGTGAAATTAAAAGTACAATTATTATAATAAATATTTGTTGTATTATCCTTAGAAGATGAATTTGAAGTGCTGGCGATAGTAGAATTGGCAGAATCTTGTTTGTTTCTCATCTTTTCAAGTATCTTTCCATGGTGTTCCTAATGAATAAGCTTTAGATATGGTTTAAGAGATTCAGATGATGAGTGGCCTGTTACCTTAATAATTTCTTGCAGGTTTGCTCCAGATTGTGACAAGATGCTTACTGCGGAAGAGCGATTCGAATGATTGGATATTTTATGTTTCTTTGTATCAAATCCAATACTTTCAGCCGCTAAACGTGTCCATTTACTTAGTTGATTAGAGCCTACAGGACAATTTTTATACCATATTTTAGTTTTTTGCCATTGTATTAGGTGTTAAAAAAAGACGATTGGTTTTAATGTTTGGTGTTCTTTTGCTCAACATTTTCTCCAAGAGACGTACGGGACACTGATCTTCACACTTTTTATTCGGTCAACCATTTAGATTCAGATGTGCGTTTTTCGCCACCCTGCGCTGTCTTTGAAAACATGGTATTGTACTCAATACGTCCAGTGGGTTCACCATAATTGTTGAATTCTTTTTTGAAATAGTCAACTAAGCAAAAGACTGCTTCATTTCCACATCACGCCAGTTCCATGGCACAAATTTGATAGAATTTTTTTTGCAAACCGTCTGGCGTGTTTTCGTCAAAAATTGCTATAATTTTGCTAATTTCGTCCGCATTAAAGGTGATAGAGCTTGTTTTTCTGTATTCAGGAATTGCTTGTAACTTCTTCCTTTCAGCTGCCCGCGCCTTTCTTGCATTTTCAAAAATGACGCCCTTGAATGGATTTATTTCTCGGTTATACTCTTCATAAAACTTTTTTGAAACGAGTTTAGCGGTAATATTCCAAATTGTTTTCACAGTCCCTTCTTTGTATTCGGTGCCGTCTGCACGTTTAATGTTGAATGCCCAATCCTTCAAGATACTTGCCAATTGTTCTTCAGAAGTTTGAGCAGAAAGCTTATAATTTCGCTGTTCACAAAATTCTGTAAACTGCTTCCAGACATATTTGTGCATTTTTAAAGTATTTTGGGGAGTTAGATTCCCTATTTGTTGATTGATTTCCAATTCAGAGCTTGAACCGAAGCGTTCCATTTTTTTTTGACGTTTATTGACAAATATTAAAACCACCGTTACCATGACATAGTTCACATTGTTGGAGGAGGCGAAACACCAAAACGGTTATACCACGTCGTCAAGAGTATAATCGCTTATCAATACATAGTAACTACGTAAAATTTGTAATTGCTATTGGCTAAATTTCTAATGAATTATATAATCAGAACAATTATGGCAAATAATATTTATACCAATGACGAATATGTCAACATGCTCCCAAGTGTTTTTCGATTCCAGAAAAAATAGTAACGCTGCAATAAGATTATGCCACCAAAGATATCCAAATCAACCGATTCCTCATAGACAAACATTGGTCTCGGTGGAAGGATGGCTTCGGGAAACTGCTAAAATTCAGTCCAATTGTGAGGGAAGGCGTAATGTCTGAACTGTTGAAACTGAGGAAGCTATACTGGAACATCTAGAACAAGACTGTGGTACAAGCACAAGACAGGTGTCCAGGCAAATGCAAGTTTCAAAGCCTTGTGTGGAACGTAGCTCATGAAAATCTTTTATACCCTTTTCACCATCAGCCCGTGCAAGAATTGAATGACCCTGATTTACCTAACTGCGTGGATTTTTGTCAATGGTACATTAATATTTCCAGGCATGACTTAAATTTCGTAATGAATATACTTTTCACCGATGAAGCAAATTTTCCTAGAGTAGGTGCAGTAAACCTTCATAATGTTCATTCATGGTCGGAAGAAAATACTCATGAAATATTTGTTTCAAGATGTCAACATAATTTCAGTTTAAACGTTTGGACGGGAATTGTAGGAAATACTCTAGTAGGTCCTTTTATTCTTCCACACAGGCTTGGAGCGGCGGAGTATCTTAGATTTTTTAACGAGAATCTTCCAACATTACTTGAGGATGTACCCCTCACAATGGGGCGCATGCACATAGTACACTTGCCGTTAGAAAATGGTTAAATTTAAATTACCTGAATCGTTGGATTGGTCGTAGTCGTGATGCCCCTGTTTGTTGGCCTTCACGTTCACCTGACCTAACGCCTATGGATTTCTTTTTATGAGGACATATAAAAAGTATTGTTTATGCCATTCCTGTTTGTGTGAGTGCGTTATAACTTCAACAGACGTATTAGGTTATGCTTGCAGCAAAATGGAAATTATTTCGAGAATATTCTTTAAATATAATTTTGCATTTCTTGTTTTTCGTTTGTATTAAATTTTATTTCAGATAAATAACTTTACCTAATACATGTCCCATAGTCATAAGTTATCAAACAGTTTTCATTAATTAATACCAAATTATTCTTAATGTTATTATTAAATTACCAGCCTATTGACAGAAAGTGTCAATTTATTAATATGATAAATAACAATTTATTTGTTATGACATCCGTCTACTTTATTTTTACAAATTTTCGCAATTACCCCTTTAGTGAACGATGACGCATCTAATTTTTTTTACTAGAAAACTATCGGTTTTATCGAAAAATTACAAGAGGTAAAAAAGTTGCGCAATAAATCAGTCTTCCCAATAAATATTTTTAAATAAATAATTTGCTTCATATAAAAAATTTCTAATAAAATATTGCAATGGGGTTGACTGTTTCAATCCTTTATAAAATACGCCATTGATCGAAAAAATATTGAAAAGTTGTCTCTTTATTAGTAGGATGCTCATAACAAGTTTCGTATCTCTAGTATTCCCCATATTAAAGAAAAAAATTAATATGTGAATTTCAATCCCCTCCTTTAAGAGGGTATATCGCCTCAGGGGTGTGACTTTAATATAAGGTATTTTTACTTCATTCCTCTTATTTTTGGCTCTACATTCAGTAGTACCATTTTTGCTACTTCATTTAAAAACACCCTGTATACTTACTTCATAAGAAGCAACAGGAGAACTTCCATGTACAGCGATATCGTCATATGGCTGAACTTTTTTCCGACATACTGAAGAAGATGGATGCTGTCTTTCAAACACTTCGTCAGCGGAACTTCCAAGTTGTCATTCGATTTAAGAAGGTGCCATATCTAAAAAATACAATTTTATCATCGTATAACATTGCAAATCCATAAACAGAAAAGTTTACCTGCAAAAGAAGTCCCTGGCACTCGTTATCTTCTATATCCGAGCACTTCATCTGACTAAAACAATTCACTAGGTAATTAGAAGCTCGGTCAGTACGGATCAACGGTACTGATGCCCTTGCAGCTAGATCGCGGGTTCTATAAAAGGGATTAGACAGAGACGTCGTTATATGAGGAAGGTATTTCTCCATCTACAAAAAAAAAAAAAAAACATGAGTTTTCATTATAATGTGAAAATTATTCATGTACCTGTGCGTTATACTCTTCTAAGTGAGAGGGGTACAACCTGGCTAATATCATCAAAAGTGGATGTAAAACTAGGCTCTCGTTCTTGTCGCATTCTTCCGATAGAGTTTCCAGGAGGAACTGGAACAATTCCGGATACCTTAGGAAGAAAACCCTAACAGTTAACCTATTTTTTATACACAAGTCCTCGGAATCTTGTGTTCGTTGCACTCCAAATATTCTGGTCATCAGTGAAGCGAACAGAAGTGTCGCGGAATTTCTTATCTATAAACAAAAGATAGATTAACGCACATCTTTCAATATAAAGTGTATTATACCCCCCACGTGCTGCTCTTAAAACAAGTAATGACTACTTTCACCCCGGCTGCGACATAAGACGAAACCGCTTCTCCCAGCTTGCTGTGCCTAAAGATTATCCTTAATACGTTCATGCAATGCATTCTGTACTCGTCGCAAGAGGGGTTTGTTTTTTCGCAGGTTTTTAGTAGCGTTTTCATCACTTCGTGGAAATTTGGTTTGTCGAAGGACGTTTCGGAACTCAGTATCGCCTAAAAGTTGAAAACAGAGTTCAAATAAGAATTTCTTTATAAAATTTATTCAAATTCGTACCAGTAATAAAAATGGTAGCCCTGCGCTGCGTCTAGTAGCACATAATTTATCAGTCTGTTTTTCTCCTGTGCAGAAAGCTAAGGCATCCTGTAACCACATTTTAGGAAGGCAATTTATATTCGGATTTGCACATCTGAAAAGTAAAATTATATAAATACAGGGTGATTCATTATCGGTATCCAGCGGCTGTATATAGGAAACTAGACGTGCTACGATTATGGGGTAAAAAATCTATCAACAAATATGACCAAAAGAAATTGATTTAAAATATTTTCAAGTTTGTAACTTCACCGCTAGATGGCGCAACTGCTATAGTGTTACAGAAAATTGTTTTTCGAAATTTCGCTTATATAACCGAAACTGAAAATACATTTTTTAGATACACTGTTAAACCCTTCACAAGATTTGTTTGAACTTTTTTTTTTGTTATTACCATAGCAACGTCAGTATGAAGGACACTATCTTGAAATTTTTAAATTGTCATAACTTCTAAATGCCTTAATCAATTTCAATAAACGATGGCTCATTTTAAAGAACTAATAAAATTTATTTTTATGATATAGGAGTAAAAATATTATTTTCCTGCACAACGGTAGACGATGCTAATGAGAAAAGTTTTGTAATTGTCTCCGTTTACTAAAAAAATTAAATGCAACGATATAGGTTTTTTATCATGGCTTGATAGACCATTCATGATGGAAAACAAATACGCAACTCAGATGTCCATATCTTTTTTCGTTTTCAAGTTATTGCTAAAATAATGAAGTTGTGCTAGAACATCCTCCTTTATTTAGTTCTCTAAATAACATTGACATAATCCAAGCCAAAATTAAATTGTAAAACTATACCAATCTTGTCCTTAAAAAGAATTATTGCTTTATTTTGATTTTTTTCTGATAACTGCAATATTTCATTTTTTTTTATTAATTCCAGATACCTTAGTAGTTACTAGTTATAAAGATTATTGTTTCCATAACGAAGGAGGCTTTGTTCTATGAAAATAGACAAATAAAAAATTATGTCAAACAATATGTGACAGCTTTTGCTTCGTGCAAAATTAGTGTCATTCGTGTGAGAAAAGTACTTGTGTTCCATATGAAATTTCCAGGTCTCTAACTAATTCCCTTAGACTTATTTGGGGATTTACATGGACACAAGCCAACATATTAATAATATTATCTTCCGTTCTTCCACGGCGATGTCGTCTTACAGAATGTAGTGGCGTCTGGATAAATGCTGAAATACTTCTCTGGAGTGGCGTATTCTACGAGGGTATCGCAAAACGTATTCTCTTGAGGCTATAACGGCACTTTTCAAACATTGAAAATAAACTGCCAACATATCATACGCTTCCACATTCGTAAAAGGCATTTTCCTTGTTCACAAGTACTTTTCCAACACAAATAACACTAATTTTGCACGTAGCGAGAGCTGTCACATTTCGTTTGGCATAATTTGTCAGTTGTCTATTTTCATAGGGCATAGCCTGCCTCGTTATAGAAACAGTAAACTTTATAACTACTCAGATATTTGGAATTAATAAAAAAATTAAACATTGCAGTTATCAAAAAAATTTCAAAATAAGGCAATTATTCTCTTTAAGAACAAGATTGGTATAGTTTTACAATTTAATTTTGGCTTGGATTATGTTAATGTTATTTAAAGAACTAAATAAAGGAGGATGTTCTAGCACAACCTCACTATTTTAGCAATAACTTGAAAAGGAAAAAGATATCGAGCTACGGTTTGTGTATTTGTTTTCCATAATGAATGGTCTATCAAGCCATGAAAAAAAAACCTATATCGTTGCATTTCATTTTTTTAGTAAACGGAGACAATTATAAAACTTTTCTCATTAGCGACGTCTACAGTTGCGCAGGAAAATTATATTTTTATTCCTATATCATAAAAATAAATTTTATTAATAATTCTTTAAAATGAGCCATCGTTTATTGTAATCGATTAAGGCATTCAGAAGTCATGACAATTTAAAAATCTCAAGATGGCGTCCTTCATACTGGTGTTGCTATGGTAATAACAAAAAAAAGTTCAAACAAAACTTGTGAAGGGTTTAACAGTGTATCTAAAAAATGTATTTGCAACTTAGGTTATATAAGCGATATTTCAAAAAACCGACAATTTTCTGTAACACTATGGCAGTTGCGCCCCCTAACGGTGAAGTTACAAACTTGAAAATATTTTAAACCAATTTCTTTTGGTCATATTTGTTGATAGATTTTTACCCCATAATCGTAGCACACCTAGTTTTCTATATACAGCCGCTCGATACCGTTAATGGATCACCCTGTATACACGATTACATAAAATTCCACAAAATATACAGAATACAACTGATTTTTTTTAATTTTCATATCCCAGCCACTGGACAGGATACTACAACTTTAAATAAACGCACACAATATGTCACCTAAGGCAGTAATTCGAACAGAAATATTTAAAAACTGACACGATGTGTTAAAAATTTCACAGAAATATTTTGAAAATATTAAAAAAACGGAAAAACACTACTAATTGCGAGAATGATTTTTGAATACTTACGTCCAAAACGATTCACATACAACGGAAAAACCCACGTAAGCCTTCTCAAACACTCCCCTATGTTTGCTCTCTACGAAAATCTTAAAAAAGAACTCCCCGATCTTCATCAGAAGCATCTCGGACAACATCTCAGTCTTATCTTCTAATTTGACAGCTTGTTTCACGACTTCTGCTAACAGCAAAGTCATTTCTTTAATGGTACGCCACGCGTAGCACAAGATTTTTTGAGCCTTCGAGGACTCGTCTTTGTCGCACAATTCCTCTCCATTGTCGGGTATGTAGCCCTCGGGTGCGGGACTGCACACGATCGGCATAATACTGTTTTTCAGGTTCAGGCAGATGACTACAAGGTGTTCAAATACTCCGGAATATGCTTCGTTGTTTTTACTGCAATATAATTTTTCCTGTATTAGAAAACTACGTTGTAAAATAGGATTGTAAGAAGATAACTTACCTAATGTCTCTGTTTTCGAGGATGTGCCTTATACTTAAAAGAATACCGTGATTCGATGTTTTTATCTCATAAATATCATCAATTTTCACCTCTTCTGCACATAGCTTTCCTATGAGGACTATGACCATATCCAATTTGGGATCGGTAACCTGAAGGCGTTGGCTTTCACTCGTGGTGTATTGTACGATGTCGTAGAAATGCGGCGAGTAAGTACACACTTCTAACAGGTAAGCGGCGGACAGAGTTTTGTTGGGTTTTATGTCTACCGCCATGTTCAGGCAGCGCTGCATGTATTTGAAGGTGAATTCGACGTTCTAATAAAAGAAAAGCTGTATTAATATACTGTAAAACCTATTGATACTTCATAGTATCAAATAAGAGACTGGGTAAACATACAGGGTGTCCTAATATTCCGTGTGCAAGGAACTACTACCAGGTCATTGTGTACATAATAAAATGATTTAACTAATTTTACTGGCATCCAAAGTTGTTTCGTTTAACTCCTGGAGGATGTCGATGTTGGCAAAAATATTTAGATAACTCTAAAACTTTTTATCCAATTTCAAAAAACTAAAATTTTCTGGCAACTTTTTTGCCTCCTGCCAGCTAAAAGGATCCAATATTTCGAATTTGCGGTACTACCTCATCTGGGGAATATTGGGATATCCTGTTTTAACACCAAGATTTTCATATTTTATTAAAGAAAAAGGGAATATGCTTACTTACAGTAAATCCTATTGAACGTGGTGGCAAGGTTTTAAGTAAAGTTACGGCCATTTTCTTATTGCTCTCGTAACTATCGAATAGAATATTATGGCAATTTTTGACATCGTCTTCCGACCAGCAGCTCTGCCACTGATCGTTATGAAGGAATTTCTGTATGCTTATCAACAAGTCGAGACTAGCGGATCGTCTGAAGTAGTTCGAGTCAAACGTCAAGTAAGAAATCAATAATTTCGTAAATTTCCTAATAAAACATCTATAAGAAATGTTGAGCTCCTGGTAAACCCTTCGTATCCTTATCGGTTCCTGCTTGTCTTCCACCATCTCTATCCGTTTCGTCAGGTAGGATATATTCCTCATTATAACATAATACCCGGTGCTGTACCTAGTTAAAGCCTTTTTGTAAAACGTTATGATCTGTTTCCGAATATTCGGTATTTGAGATGTGATATTATAGTGCAGGTACATTATTAAAAACTCAAACTCCCAGTCCAGGAAGATTTCAGTCGATTTTTGACTTTCGACAATCACCGCCAAGACCGAAATCCTTATCTGAAAAATCGTACTGTTAATAAAACTTCTCAATAAAACAAAGATTTAACCTCGTCGTCCTGATGTACGGCAAACTTCATCAATTTGTCTTTGTCTATTAACCCTCTCCAATAAAAACAGCTATTCTCTTTCCTATCTACAGTCAGTTCAATCCCATTAACCCTGGCGTACTGCAAACACTTTAGCAGAACGCCCGATTCTTGAGAATTCCCTACGTAATCCGCTGGATATCTAAAACGGTAGCTGTTAAAGAACTGGGAAATTTTGAATTTCATATCAATTCGCAACGCAAGCATACATTATCCTCAATATTACGGGATGCAACTGGAAGGCTCTGGTAATAATTCGCTGACAGACGGATGTACATTTGCTGCAATTTTTTAACACCCTCGTCGCTGGCGTAATCCAAAATTTTATCCACTCGTCTTTCTCGATTTCCTGGTAATGTTTCTCCATAATGGAAATATACGTCTTGCACACCTAAAAAATTAAGATACAGTACAATTGACAGAAGGTATCTATAATAACGATAAGAAACACATATTCCATTTAATAGGGTCGTTTCTGGTTTTATATAGAATATAAGGCAAAGATAAAAATAAATAACATATTTACTTTTATATTTATGTTTCATTGGAATTCCTCAATAGATATTTTAGAAGTTCACAAAATAATTGTTTCAGGAAAATTTGTCAAAGCATTTCGTGTATGTTACATAAAGAATTTGTATAGCGCCGTATTGTGTCCCTTATAAAGTTATTTATTTTAATGCTTAGAGATGGTACGGTCTGTTTGTGTATCTTCATTATTAAATTATGTAGTACTTGAAAAAATATGTATGAAGATTGTGGAAGATGAGATTTGAAAACATTGCATTAGAGCTGGGTCACTCGTTCATTTTGGATGTGTTGGCACGTGCGGCACAACTCATTTAAGTGTGCCGTAAATTATATTTTTAAATTATAATTTGTAATAGAGGTATCTACATAATTTGCAAACTTTTTTTTAACTATTACATATAACTGCATTTGAGATGATTTTGTTAATTTAATAATTTGTCCGTTTATTTATACCTACGAGAAATAAACTTTATTCTATTTTTAATATTTTGATAATAATTTATTGCAGTTTTAAACAATTATATGTCCTATTAAAATATTCTACAGTATTCTAATAATAAACATTTATTTTTACATTTTCGGCTCACTTATTCCTAAATTGTATTTCTGTCGTCGTAATCAGTCAACTTTATATGGAGAATTCACACATCTGTAGTCCAATCGCGAGTCATGGTATTTAATTTACCTCTAACTTTGGAGCTGGAGTGGAACAATCAAGTATTACGTGCTTGGCTCCTTCAATGTTCAGTGCTCGCTCAATGCCAGTATGAACGATTAGCTCCTTCGTTGTAAGTCGTTCGTTCACGACAGAAGATTATGTGCCGGCACATTAGTGCGAGTCGTTCATGAGCGACCCAGCTCTACATTGCATGTTGTAACTCCCAATTGGGTATGCGCCCACGTCTAGTGCATGTGCTTGTTTGAGGTTATACTAGCCTGTAGGTGGTATGATTAAAAAAAAAAGAAAGATAAAAAATTAGTTTATTATAGAATTTGAGAAAACAAACTTATGGCATGTGTTTCTAAATGTTTCTGTATAAATATGATCCCCACTTAAAGTTACACCCTGTATGACCTTAACAAGGATATAGTCCATACGATATTTGTTAACAGAATTCCAAGTAAAGAATAAGCCAATAAAGTTATGTTATCGGAACTACTGTAACCATTTACTGCGACAGAGGCGTGCCTTGAAATTTTCAACGTTATTTTCAGAATAAAATATATACAAAGTAGATTTTTTGGATTAAAATGTGTTTTTATTTCTAAACTAGAAGCGTTTCATGTAATGTAGTCCTCTCTACAAACAACATACAAGTTGCTTTCCTTAGCATATTCTTAAAAATAAATATCCATTAAAATTGCACATTGACGAAATTAAATAACAAATAATTTAAAAAAATATTTTTCAATCTGTCGACGTTCTATAAGAATGGTGCCAACATAAGTTGCTGCATAACAAAACCAAAATTTAATGTTATTTTTATTCGACTATTGTTCAAAAATATTGATTTTTCTTTCTTTTGATGAGGACAAAAAAGGAGAAAAACAATTTAAAATGAATATACAATTTTTTAAGTTAGTCAACATTTAGGCATTTTATAAACATTACTTACTTGGTCAGAAATAGTGGCCTCTGAAATACCATTCAACAAAGTATCCTGCAAATCTTCAAAATTTTTTAAGAGATAATTGGCACCAAAGTGCTGTCCGATGTTCTCCATAGCTAGAAATTTTATAGTCTGTGTCGACGACAACTGTTTGACATATTCTATTAAAATTTCAGCTAAATCTCCATAACCTGTTAAAATATTTCGTTAAAATGGAAACGAATGGATATAACGAAATGATATACCATTATTTTTATGATGAGCTGCTACCATTACGATATCAGCAAAAAATTGTTTAGCGTAATTACGGACAGTGTCAACGAAATGATCGATGTGTGACCAAATATATGCTATTGCTTCTAGAAATATAGGCTTCATTAGTTCAGGGGGAACTACCGTCAAGTGTTTGCCTAATATGCTCAATGTTCTACTAATCTCTACTATAACATGAGGAACGCCAGTTTTCCTAAAAATATTACATAGCAATAGACCAATTTGTATAAATTTAATTGTTACCTCTTCGCACATTCCATAAGCCCATTGTACAATATGCACACAAGAGCTTTACCATTGATTTTTATTTCAAGCAGCTTATCTTGAGGCAGAACACTCAAAATAGAGGCATAGATGATTACAATGCAATCAGTTTCTTTGAAAACTGACAATTTGTAATTGTTTAACTTAAAATAATTCTCCTCGTTATAACATGCTATGAGCTCCAAAGGAGGGCATTCTTTATATTTCTAAAAAAGTTGAATAAAACACTGATAAAAAAAAATCCCCTTTAACTCACAAAATTATTACGATAACTCTCAGGAATAATGTTGTAGCAATATGTGATGATTAAACCTGATTTTGTTTTCAGGTCAAAACCGACCTTCTCACTGATGAGAATCGAGTGAGACCAAACGATAAGTTTTATACTGTACTGCTTTGATATAGTCTCTGTATATGGTACGACTCTAACCAAACCGAATAAAATTTGTTTGAGCACGGCATTCATAAGAGCGAGTAATTCTTCAGATAGTGAAGTAACTGGTTGACAGTTTGATCTAAAAGTATGTAATTTAGAATTAGAAGAGATTTCTATTAATTAATACATACGTGGCATGATGAACAAAACCCTCAAAAAGCACACAGTATAATGGAAACAAATATTCTATTGTAATTTCATACTGAAAATGTTCAGTGGTTTGCATTAAATATACAAAATTGACCAAATCGTAACACTGCTTTATGTTACAACATTTGAAATTGTTTACATTTGCTAAAATTTCGTCCGTTGTAGACTTCAAAAGAGAAGTTGATAAATTTGGTTCGCCTATAATGTCCTGTAAATATTTTTTCAACACCTTCTTAGAACCATATTTTGTAAAAAATTCTAAAAGTACATTTTTTGCTTGCAAGTTCTCAGCTTTTTGTTCTCTACTTAATTTATAAAGATCTACCTGTAAATAAAAGATAAATTAATATCAGAAATTTTAACTACTGAAATTACTACTTACAATTTGTTTGATATATTTTTTCTGTTCATTTTCTTTTGTCGTTTCTTCAAGCAGCTTCAGCAGGTCTTTTAACTGTGCATCTTCAGGGTTAATGTGTGAACTATTTTCAAACGCTAGTTCAAACAAAGTCATTTCATTTTCTATCGAATTTACCATTTTTTACAAACCCGATAATTTTTCTCATGTTACGTGCGGTTAAGAAAAAAAATTAAAAAAGCTGAAATGAATTTGTTACACGCGGTTCCATGCTTAAGCATCAATGAAAAAATGTCACAGAACTGTCACCCGTCAGATCAAACATTGTTCATTCTTCTTCTTCTTTGTTTAAAGGCCTTCCACATGAATAAAGTATATGAGGCCTTCATGACAAAAGGTAAAAAAAATGAAGATTGGATGCGTTCGATGTACATTTACCGAAACATTCTAATTTGCAGGCAGCATATTACTCTTGCTCTTAACCTGTGATGAACGATGAACGTAACTGTCAAAAAGTGCCAAGAAAAGTTTGCTGATGTAAATACCATAAAGTAAATAAATAATACACATACATATTTTTATGTATGCAGTAATAATGAATTCAGATGAAACTTCCTTATACAAACAGCAAGTAAGTTTAATAATCACGTTTTTCTTTAATTTCTAAAATTCCCTTTAATAGCTTCTGAAAGTAAATGAAGCTCTACTTACGTGCCCAGAGGGACCAGAAAAGGAAGAATTAATCATTCTTAAGGAGAGTATCCAGGAACTTTTGTTGCTTACCGATGAACCAAATGCCTCAAATAATCCATCGAATAATAATGACCCTTTATCAGACGAGTTTGCCCTTTTCATGGTAAATAATTAGAAAAAACATGCTGCAAAATTTTTGAAAACATTTTTTAGGCTGAAATGGAAAAAGAAGGAGCAGTAGTTAAACGGGACGAAGAACCTGCATTGAAAAAGCTAGAACTGAACGACATCGAAGGCAAAAAATGTAGGGCTCCTCATAAACATCAGTGGGGCAACATTGCGTACCACAATGCAATGATTTGTTCAGTAGAACCGGAAAGTGTTGATGATGAAATGATGGTAAGTGCTTATGTTTATATGTGGATATCGTAACCAAAAAAAATTTTTAGGTCCGAGTTCTGTTTATAAATCCCACTCACCAAGAAATGTTACCTTGTCCTTATTACTACGAATCTGACTGCAAATTTACAGAAGACAAATGTCGGTTTTCTCACGGAGAGCTAGTTACTTATTCTAGTTTACAAGAATATATTGAACCCAAATTCGATCTCCTATCTCGAGGCAGTTATATACTCGCTAAACAGAAAAATAATTTGTGGTACAGAGCTATCGTCAAGAAAATTTATGAGGAGAGGTGTTTAGTTAAGTTTGAATCTAATAGAAAGGAAGAGGAAGTTATTTTAGAGCATATATTCCCTTTAAATGGTGATAACGAATCTAATGAAGATGTGAGTAGCGACGATGACAATTCCAATAAATATGAAGCAAACGAAGATGAAGACATTATTAATATGAGTCTTATGATCACTCCGTCTGCTCAGGTTTTGGGAGATTGGGAAAGGTATACAAAAGTAAGGACATTTGACATTTAAAACTGAAAATTTTCCATATCTGATTTGAACGTCTGTTTTAGGGTATGGGATCAAAACTGATGCAAAAAATGGGTTATATTGTGGGGACAGGACTGGGAAAAAAATCTGAGGGTAGGATTGAACCCGTCACAGCCATGATTCTGCCTCAAGGAAAATCGTTAGGTAAATAACATATTCTTATCGACTGGATTTTTAATTTTGTTTTTATCGCACATCTTTTCCGAGATTTTTCATAATAGTAATTGCTCTTTACTGATACTAAGGGCAATGCAAATACCATGCCCATACTAAAAGCCATTCCTAGGCACACATGTGGCCTAATGAATAATAATATGTCACCCCCTCTCCCGCACAGGTCTGGACTAATATTTGCAATTAGAACGAGGGATAGAGATATTATTAATCAAGGTCCTGTAGCGTATGTTGTACAATAGGGAGTCTACAATTTTTTGGTATTTCTCTGGAAATTTGAAACTTGAGATCTGACTACCAGGTCTTGAGCCACAAAAGTAGAAATTTCCGGTTAATTTGTTCTTGATTCCGGGTGACAAAAATTCCTTGCTTATAATCCCCTGACTTCCTAACAAGCTTCCTCTCGTGTTCTTTGTAAATCATTTAAATGTTCTCAAAATATAAATTCGCAATATCACTTAAATTCAAGGCTACAATTTTTTAGATCATTGTATGAAACTTCGCGAACAGGCGGGCAATGACAAAGATTTATTCAGCGTGGAAAGAAAACTAAAGCGGTTGCAAAGAAAGCAAGAAATGCAGTGTAAAAAAGCGTACGAAAGGCAGTCGAAAGAAGTAGACGTTTTCAATTTCATAAATAAAACCCTAGGAGACGGAAATAGTCAAGACACGACAGAGAAAATCGAAGAGAGGCAAAAGATTAAAAAGGAATGTTCGAGGAGCCTTAATATAAAAAGTTTACAGATCGCGGACAACATTAGGAAAGTGGAACGGGATTTAGAGAGGCTCAAGGATTCGTTAGCGAGGCATACAGACGTTACCTCAAACATACACTTGAAACTGAAGGATAAGCTGGTGTACAGACAGGACCAATTGAAAATGTATCAAACCCAGGCTTTAATGATCAGGAACGAGCAGAGTTTGCGGAGTAACAAGAAAAAGATGACTGTGTTTTAGATTGCAAAGTGTTTATACTCATAATATTGAGCATTTGTATGTACATATTAAATTTCGTGATTACGGTCTTATGTAACTAATATTTAAATAAAAAGAAACTGAAAATTTATATTTGTTTGCAATTATCAATTTTAGTATGACACAGTACTATCGAATTGTGGTAGCGTAGCTTATAAAACAAATAAGCCAATGCAGAAATAGCAGTTATCCCACTCCATCACTGTGCCAATAGATGTTTAGTGATTTATCTAATTTTTTGCTTAATAGCAAAATTACCGATTTAATTGAACTAATTCAAAAAATCGTAGAAAAATATGTATTAAGAACTTAAGAACAGTTCAATTTTTTTTGCATCTAAAGGAAACTATCTCGTTCACTTTTTTAAGTCGCATTTTATTTTTTAAAATATTGAAACTACATAAAACGAGTTTAATATCCCTTGGTACAAAATGTTTTACCAAAACATTTCTCGATGAGAATTAAATAACATTAAAATCCCTTTTTTGTTCTTACAGGTAATAGGGTTTCTTTAGCGTAGTTAAAGAATGATAACAGTCCATATTTCTTATTTCTTTTAGAGAAATAATTTGACACTACGTCGCCATCTGAAAAACAAATGGATTAGCAATTAAATAAATAAAATGTGGAACAACTATACCAATCCTCTCTGCAGTTGTAGGTAAAACATTATCGTTTGCAGATAAAGATACGAAGAGAGCAAACGGGACTAACCACAAATATAAGGTAAAGTATGCTATAACCTAAAATTAAAAAGGCAATGCAATCTACCTATAGGAAAAGTACAAATGTTAGTTACCTCAAAGAAGGGGTGATATACTGCAGCAAAATAACTGAATGCGAGATAATGATTAATAATTATTAACACTACAGCTGCCAAAAAGCCAAGTGACGAAAACGACACATATGGGAAATTTTTTAGTATTATGTAGTGGACTAAGTGAGCTAGTATTCCAAATACTATCATTGATATTGGGAAATTTTCAAATATCCATAAGAATACATATAACGCCAATGTTGTCTAAAAACATAAACATTATTAGACAAAAATAAATCATGTAGGAACTCCTTACTGTGTTCATCCACCATATGACTTTCTTCGCTGCACTAGTATATTCTTCTACTAATTCTGCTAAATAATATAATCCGGCAGCTAAAGTAATACAAAAGTAATTTCTTAAATTATAAATAAAAATCATTTTCTTACCTATTGCTATTGTTATAAATACAATTTGTATTAGAACAGCTGCATAACTGATTAATGTTAAAAATAACATTATTTTATAATTTTCTCTTTCACTTTTTTAATCCATTTGTTAAGGTTATAAATTATTGATAATTCATCATATACTTTATTAAAGATTCTTTTATTTGTAAGTGTTTTCCTAGTTGTTGACGTTGCTTATTCTAGATGAACTGATATTAACTTTATATGTTCGATCCTTCAAAACTGTGTTCAATATAAAAATAATTGATAATGATGTTTAGTCTGTTTCTGTTTACATCTGTTTACTTTTCTTCACAAAGTACAGGATTATGCTGTGGTACAGGCATGGCATAAACTACATAGAAATGTAACTGGAATAGTACATCATATAATATAGAATTAGTATAGGGACAAGTCCATCCATTGTATGGCGCTGTTTAATATTTTTTTAGGTTGTAGTCTATACTTCCCAGATTAAACTTATCGTAACTTAGTAACTTCTCTATTATGAATTTAACTGTTAGTTTCTGAGACCTGTAAATCTTATTCTGTTATCATTATTTAATAATTTGTAGTCTGTATTTATGTTATTGATAATATTAATTTAACATAACCATATTAATTCTAAAAATATCATATCAGTAATACGAAGAGCACAATGTTAATTAAAAAAAAAAAACAGTTAATGGTGTACCCACTGGGAGCGCTGTAACTGTTAAACAAACTCAGCACCAGAGATTACCCTCTACATAGTGCATATTTCGTGCTATTCACTTCATTCTCAGATTGTAGATCGTAACTCTACTTCTCGCCAGCTCACATTACAGCAGCGCCTCGTTCGACGCGTTCGCCTACTATAGGGGAAAGAAATCTTGTATATTTTAAAATCCACGTTTTGAAATTTTTTGATGATAAATGATTTTTTCTACCAAGAAATAAAACAAATAGAAAAAATAAATACATATATTATACATTATAAATATATAAACGACCTTGGATTTTGTTACATGAAAAACTATTGAAACTAATACCTATTATATTTTTTTTACGCAAAATATATTTTTGGACTGTGAATCAGATTAATGGATATTTATATTTGTAGTTTAAGTTCATAAATAATTTATGCTTATCGCGCGCCATTATTCCATGGCTAGAAATTGGCCTCAATGATTTGGGATCGAGGGGGATTATCCCTCTTTATCCTGCCTCATCTCGTGTAGGCCTGGACAGCCTTCGTAGGTGGGCCCCATCAGTCGTCTACCCCGACCGCAAATGCGGCCGGTGTAGGCGCTTTGTGGGACCTCCTTTTGTCCTAGCTGGGCCCCGCCGGCTAGGGCCCTTTCTTCTGGCGCTCTTCTTGCTTCGCCGGCTCGTCTGTGTAAACCCCGGGGGTGGTGTCATGTTTATGGTTGGGTAGAGTGAGTTGGGTAGAGTAATGCGGCTATGCAGCCTGGGATGCGCTAAGGTGGCCCTTAGGCTAGCGCGGGAGGGGAGAGGTAAGGAGAGTATGGAGGGTGTGTATGTGTGTGTGTGTGTGTGTGTCGTTGTCTTCGTTTCTTGATCCTGGTGGTCTCTGAAACAGAAGAGGTTAGCGGGCAGGGGGGGATGTCGTAGGGGTGGTCACCCAGGGTCAAAAAGTTGGTATCGAGCTTCGAGCATATACTACTGGAGGTAGCATGCCATCACAACATGCCATTGTGAAAAGTGTGGCTGTGTGCGAGAGAGACAGACAGTATCTCAGTACATGCTGTCTCATTTATTTCCACCTTTTACCGGCTAATCAGTTGGTACCTACTGTATATTTATAGGTAGTTTACCACAGTGCACCAACATGTTGCGTTGCTAAGTGACGGTAAAATACAAATTTCAGAATTGGAGCTATTAAAAAATGCAGAAGTCGTTTTCCATCGTTGAAGTAAATATATATCTCGTTTCTTTAACTGCATATTTAAACCTTTTTTATAGGATAACGACGTTTTCGCAACTGAGGATGATGCAAAAGATAATTCTGACAAAAATATGTCATACAAAGTTAGTCTATCTGAGTCGGAATCTGAAGAAAATAGCAATAGCCCCAAGCACACAAATGCTATTCTGTCGGAGGTACTATTACATAAGTCACTTGAGTATTGTTGCTAATATATTTGAATTGTTTAGTTTGCAAAACAAAACGAGAGAAGTTTACCACAAGCACCAAATCGGGAATTAATTTCGAGCATTTCAAGTGCTAGTTTTTCGGGTAGGCAGACAGTGTTAAGGAGGAAACCTGCAGGTGATAAAAAAAGCATTATCTCCAGTGATAGTGAAGATAGTGATAATGAAGAAAAAGGAAAGACGATCATCCCTGGAGAATATGATCCTAAGATGTATGATAATTTAGATATTGATGAGGAAACTAGAGAACTCTTTCAATATATTTTGAAGTAAGTACAATTCTTTACAACCATGGTATTCTTAATACTCAGCTATATAAATTTTTTTAATTCTTTAGGTATATTCCGCAGCAGCTAAATTTGGACTACAAATTTAAACCTTTCATCCCGGAATTTTTACCTGCCGTAGGAGATATTGATGCGTTTTTAAAAGTTGTTCCACCAGAAACCACTTTGACTGGAGAACCATTTAAAGACAGCCTTCAGTTAGGATTGACTGTATTGGACGAACCCGCTTCTAATCAAAGTGACCCCGCTTTGTTGCATTTGCAACTGAGAGCCACATCAGTAAATTTGATGAGAAAGGATGATGCTGCTGTGGTACCAATTTGAAAAAAAAAAAATTATTTGAAAACGCTCATAATTATTTCAAATTTTAGGTCGTCAAGAAAGTTGAAAATATAGAAAAAAATGCAAGAATTATAGAAAAATGGATCAAAGATATCTCAGATTTACATAAAAGTAAATCGTCTCCTGTTGTGCGGTACTCTGAGTAAGTATAGCAATTATCCAAAATGTACACAATAAATAATGTAAACAATTTTTTTTAGGCCAATGCCAGATTTAGACGATTTAATGCAGGAATGGCCAGAAGAAATGGAAACAAAGTTAAAAGAAAATGGATTTCCACAACTGGGAGAAGATACTAGTCTCTCGGAATATGTAACTACAGTGTGCAATATATTTCAAATACCCACAGCGAAAAACAAAATTCAATCAATACATTTATTATTTTGCTTATATGCCGCTATTAAACAAACACAATTGTATCAATCCTCAACTACTGCCATCAACAATCAAAAGCAAAGCAAACAACTACCAAAGAAAGAGGCAGATCAGTTAGTTTTAGAATAATGTCTGAAGATTTTTAGAAATAAAGCACTATTTTGCACTATTACTTTAATGATTCAGTTAGCCAGTTTGCAATTAAATACTATTCCTTTAACGGCGGTGTAATTTAACTACAGAAATGTAAACTTTTTGTGTTCTTAAATAATTTTCGAGTAACTTTAGTGTAGAAACTTTGAACGCAGTGTTACACATTCTATCATTAGTGGTCTGTAGTTTGTTCACTCGTTCACTATTTTTATGTTCTATGCATTTGACGGTTAGAATTAGAAATGTAAAACATTCAAATAAATGTCAAAGTCAAACAAAATTGTAACAGGAGGAATCAAACTTTCAATTATAAATTGAATGCCAATGTAATGTAATGGATTCGTTTTATGATGCTCCTAGACGGGCACCAATGCCTACACAGGTTGAAAAGGTAATGTACTATCATTTCTTGAACTTGATATGAAAAATGATTCCATTTTAGTTTGTACCAACTCCTGTTGTACCCGAGGTTTCCATCGTTTGTTCATCAAAAGCTGCTGCAAATAAATATTCATCGTACAGTGCATGGAAAACGCAACAAAATAGGACTGAAACTGCTTACATTTCAACGGTGAACAGAGAAAATATGATAAAGTTATCCACTTCAGGTCAGAATCAGAACCTAAACTGTCAGAATACTTCTCAGTTGTTAAAGAAGCAGGTACGATTTGAGAGCCCTGTACTACAACAAAGGCCATCCTTAACGTATGAACCATTTAACGCAAGGAAAAATGTAACGGAGAATTGTCCAAAATTACCGGTAATTGTTAATAAAATTCCTACAAATGTCCAGCGGAATAATGGAACAACATTCGAACAAATATATTTGGCCAATGTTCCTAACAGAAACTTAGATTTAAGTTTGATCGATTTGCCAGTAAAATCTGATAAAAAAAATGGAAATGTCACAGAAAGTGAAGATCATATAAAACAGATTGATTCTTGCGAGACAGATTTAAAAAAAAGTGGTGGGGAAAATAATATTGAAAATAAAGAAAATATGTTGCCGAAATCTTACAGAGATTTTCTGGAAACCCAGAACAAAATCGTTAAAGAAAATAAAGAAAATTTAAATGATTCTATAACAGATATTTTTAATTACAAAAGGAAATTATTTAACACAGAAAACGGTTTTGTCAACAAAAATTCTGAAAATTGTGTAACTGGATTGAATATGACGAAATTTTCTAAAATAGATTGTGCTAAGTCCTCCAATGTAAGTATAAGTGAAAATTTGAAGTGCAATAATGGTAGTGAGTTGAGAAACCGTTTGGAAAAACCACAATCACCGTTACGATTTTATGATAACAATCGATATTCCGATTTTAAGCAACAAGGCTTTCAAGATTACGTGAGAAATTCTCCAAAATGTGATAGGGTCACTCAAATTAGTGCTTACAGATCTTCAGATAATCATAAGACGGATATAACACAGCTAGAGGTGCCAAAAAATGATTCCGAGCCCACCAACAGAGATCTGTTAAAAATTATAGCTCAGCAGAACGAACAGCTCCTAATTTTACAGAGACAGGTCGCTATGTTGTTAAATAGGAATGAACAGCATCACCCTAAGCAAATTGAAGCAGCCTCACGACCATGCCAAGAAAAGTATTTAGGAGAAAAATGCATTACAAGCACTCAAAATGAAATTTTTAGAAGTCCTGCTCGAGATGCTAATAGCACTCCTAGAAAACAACGTGCTTTGTCAAAGTTTTCCATAGATCTCATGACCAGTTTCGAGGTGGCCATTAGGCCACAGCACAACAAGCAGAACTTTATTAATCAGGAGCCAAAGATTCAGGAAATTACCGAATCAGAGAGCGAAGTCCGAGATAATACCATCGACAAGTACGATAAAACTATTGTGGACACCTCTCTACATCTGCAAGAGCCTGTTAAGGTCAGGGAAATTTGTCCAAGTCCGGAACCGAGCATAAATATTAATATGAATGACTACGACAGTTCTGAGTGAGTATGTTTTTGTGTCTATTCTAATCCGTGTAAGTTAGGGCTGTATTAAGATTTTATTAAGCATAAATGTAAAAGGGGAATACAGTAATAGTAAAATCTGAAATGGAACATAGTTATTCAAAAATGTCTAGTTTTATTTTTTACTTGTTGCCTTCAAGTGAATGATGTAAAAAATAATTACAGGATTTGAATATACAGGGTGATTCATCAACAATGGGAAAGTCGAAAGCTGAAGACACTACACATGAAATGGTGACGATTGGCGTAAACATGCCTTATCCGAAAGTTAATAGTTTTGGAAATACAGGGTGTTGAAAGTTAAAATTTTAAATCGTTTTTCTGCGATTATTCTGAAAATATGTAGGTTAGGAACTTGAAAATTTGTGAAACTATGTTTTTTTAGGCGGCGAATAAGATGCATGTTGTAATTTCAGCATTGCTCATAGAGGGCGCCACTTACGACCAATTTTACTGAAAATTTAGTTAATAACTTTTTACCCTGTATATTTAACATGAAACTTGACTCAAAACCTGAAAAAGCTATCATTTTTCCATTAATTATGTACTCTTTTTTCATTTCGGGATCTCGATCCGTTTTCGAGAAAAATTGATTTAACGAACACTACGTTTTGATAACATGAGAAATTAAAAGCGAAACAAACCATGTGTTTCTTGGTGTTATTACAACAATTAACAATAAAACAAATAAAATACGTAATTATGATTTAAAGTAATTGTTTGAAGTGTAACGTCTCTTTGCTCTGTCGCCAAATTTTTGTAACATACTTTTATTTACTTGGTTTTGATTTTGCGGTGTGACAGTTCGGTTCAGACGTTACTTGTGGCTGCCCCCGGTATACTACCAACTCTAAACGGAATCTTAATTCACAATTGTGAATTCTAATTTACTAGATTTATTGACGTCACTGACGTCCCTATTTGGATGCTTAATTTTATGACGACCCTTGACTACTAGTTTATCAGCAGCGGTGGTTGGTAGCCGGTGGTGGTGAGTGACGTCACAGGAACGTACTCCGGATTAAATCTTTTTGTTCGGTTTTGTCTCGGGCGCCAGTTTCCCAATCTTTTACATGGGGGAAACTCCACGTGAAACCCACCCTCGGTTTAGAGTAAGTACTCGGGATAGCTGCAGTGAAGAAAGTTTAATTCCAGGGGTCTGTTATTTCTCTTAATTTTAATCAACGTAGTTCTCTGAGTGTAGTGTTATTTTACTTTTAAAATAAACGGTCTTATCAGTGTAGGTCACAAAAAGATAAGAAGACTCTTTTTTACTGATCGGAATTTTATCAAACTTGTCGGCGTTAAGAATGAATACAAACTGGAATTATATTTATTAGATTTATTGTCTATTAATAAGGCCTATGGAAACAAACAAACAAAAGTAAAATAGATTCTAATTACAATTATTATCACTAACTAAAACCAGGAATATACAATTAATTAACAAGCAGTGTAAATGAAATAAAATGGGTTAGAGCAATTATTATTACGACGGATTTAAAATGGCGATGCGGTTTTTCGGTGCTGTAAATAAATACAAAATTAGCACATAGTCAAAGATCAGGACACAAAATCGGTACGGTAGAAAAACGGAGTCTTGGGCGTTTGGTTTATATAATAAACTGTCTAATACTTTAAGAAACGGTATGCCAGAATAATATTCGGTTTTAAATTTCGGTCGGTGCTAGAAAGGGAAAAATAAATAAGGTTAATAAATTAGAGCAATAAATAATCAATAAATAAATTGTCCTCAATGGTTCTGAAACAGAAAAATAGTTACGGGTTACTCTAATTCTACAAATAAATATCGGCGGCAGTTTCTAGCAAAGCGACGGAAATTAAGCGAAAATGCGACCAGCCAGGAGAAAAAGCCAAGCAAAGCGGTTTACAACAGGTATAAATAAACAAACGGTAGTCAGGAAAATGAATTATGTTGGTGAACAGGAGGCAAAGTCTGGGCGAAGTGCGAGTTTAAATGCGGGGCGGCCAACAGCTTTCTCCCAGGAGCGGTGGGATGCCCAGCCAAATTTCGAGGGTCTATCCGTCGCTGCATAGCCGACACACAACGTCTTCTACTGGCGGTGGGTGGCCCAGCCAAACCAGCAGTTTCGGTTATTGTGCCTTACAGCGTTTATCAAGCTTGGGTGGTGGGTGGCCAGCCAAACCTTCGCCGACAACGCTGCTGCTGTACACTTCGACACCTTCACGTCTTCTACTGGCGGTGGGTGACCCAGCCAAACCAGCAGTGTCAGTAAAAGGGCTCACAATGTTTGTCGAACGAGGGCGGTGGGATACCCAGCCAAACCGTCGCCGATAACGCTGCTGCCGTACAGACCTGCACTCAACGTCTTCCACTGGCGGTGGGAGACCCAGCCAAACCAGCAGTTCGGTTGACGTGACTAACAACGTTTGGCGAACGAGGGCGGTGGGATACCCAGCCAAACCTTCGCCGACAACGCCGTGGTCGTACTGTCTTGCCAAAGTTCAAAACGGCCAGACTTGTACCATAGCAGGACAAGTGAAAACAGGAAAATACAATTTGCTTACTTATTCCGGACGGTTGCTTCTGGCGGCTAACTCCTTGGGTCGGGTGGCGGTCTCTGGTCAGTTTTCAGGTCCTCTGGTTGGAACTGGAGCTTTTCGAGTTCTGCCAGCGAACTCCTTAGGTCGGGTGGCGGTCTCTGATCGGTGTTCAGGTCCTCGGGGTGGTCCTCGGGTTGGAACTGGAATTTTTCGAGTTCTGGCAGCGAACTGAGGATTTTAGTCCAGGATTGTTGGTTTTATTGCTTCAATCCCCCCTTGACTAGGCAAGAGTCGTGGTGGGATTATGCGCGCGGCCCTCGACAGAGTGGGGCAGCAGACGGTTTTGGCTCGACTCGCGGTTAATTGCTCTCACCCAATTAAACTAATTAAATAAATAACTGGCCAACGGCCTTGCACAAAACGGAAAATAATACTGGTTCATTACAGAAGAATCCACCGTTGACACTGATACACTTTACACGTTTTCTGAGAGATCTTCGAGTTTGAAACAACATATTAGGATTGTGTCTGACTTCGTTGGCAGCGATTTGTATTCTTTGCCACAACTCTTCACACGAGCCAATAGATTCTTTGTAAACTATATCTTTCATTTGAGACCAAATAGAAAAATCAAGAGGATTGAAGTACGGACTTCTGGATGGCCAAGCAAAAATGATTACATGGCCAATCCAGCGATTTAGAAAAACTGCATCTAAATATGCACGCACTGGCCAAGAAAAATGCGGTGGAGCTCCGTCGTGCATAAACCACGTCTCTTCTTAAATAAAGTGGAACTTCTTCGAGCCGTGGAAGCATTTTTACTTGGCTACCCAGAAGTTCGGTCTTAAATCCTCTTCATTTTCCTATTTGGAAGAATCTATTGGTTCGTGTGAAGAGTTGTGGCAAAGAATACAAATCAAATTGTTAATTGTTGTAATAACATGAAGAAACACTTGGTTTCTTTCGCTTTTAATTTCTCGTATTATCAGAACATGGTGTTCGTTAATTCGATTTTTCTCGAAAACGGATCGAGATACCGAAATGAAACAAGAATACACAATTAATGGAAAAATGATTGATCTTTCAGGCTTTGAATCAAGTTTCATGTTAGACATACAGGGGAAAAAGTTTTAACTAAATTTTCGGTAAAATTGGTCGTAAGTGGCGCCCTCTACGAGCAATGCTGAAATTACAACACTCATCTTATTCGTCCTAACCTACATACATATTTTCAGAATAATCGCAAAAAAACAATTTAAAATTTTAACTTTCAACACCCTGTATTTCCGAAACTATCAACTTTCGGATAAGGCATGTTTGCGCCAATGGTCACCATTTCACGTGTAGTATCTTCAGTTTTCGATTTTCCCATTGTTAATGAATCACCCTGTATGTAGAAATCTATCGACCTACATTCTGATAAATAGCACGAACAAAAAAATATATAAAATAAGGCTGTCAACTATCATAATTTGTCAGTTACCTACAATTTGTAACAATGTACATAACATATCCAGAATTTTTTATTCATAGATGTATGTAGTTTCTGTTCTGAATAACAAATGATACCGTGTTGATTCAAGTATACAGGGTGTAACTTTGAATGGGGACATTTTTTTTTAGTTTTCATATTCTGCCGCTGGATAGACCTAGTATAACTTCAAACTATGTGTGCAAGCCGCGAGCACATATCTAATTAGGAAACATTATATGCAAACACTCTGTATCGGCACTAAACTCTAACAACTTTATAAAATTATATACTTCAGACAGAAAGTCACGAAATTAGCTAACATCTTACAAACACATTGTAAATTGATAAACTGAAAAATAAATGCAATAAAATAAATAAAGGACATTCGGCTATTGTTGTTTCATCAAATTAACATTGACCTTTTGTTGTTTGTCCACCTAGTGCCGTTGTCATATCACATTAGGTGGATTGATATTATATAGTTCTTCTAAACTAGGTCAATATTGGATGGCATTGACATTGAAATTCACAAACACATTGCTTTAAAAAAATAGTAACAGATACTCATTATTCCTACTTACAAATTTCTACCGTCTTATTATTTCAATAGTACATTTGATACCTTCAAGTAATTTTTACCTGTAGATCTCCAAAATATTGATAATTCTAATCATTTTAGTGACGATGAAGTTTCGGCTTCGGAAATCGGAGCTACTTTTTACAGGAATTTAATGGTAAGTTTTATTTAATATTTCTCAAGATTTCTTATTTTGGTCCATTATATAGGGTCAAGTGAACGATATTTTGAGAAAAGCTCAGGTTCACGCAAAGCAAGACTACAGAGAAGGCCAAAATTGTATGGACAAATTAAAAAATCAGACAATGAATAGGGTAAGGGCGGCAACTTTGAAACATTTGAAAAATATTGGGGTTACTATTGGCCCGATTGAGGAATTATGTGAGGAAGTAAGGTAAATAGTTATTTTGCTGTCGAAACTGACTCTTGAATCAAAGAATGAATTTTTTTAGTTCTAGTACCGAGGGAAAGGAGTACACTCCAACAGAGATAAGTTTCGCCGTGAAACAACTCCTCTTGAAATATTTACCAGATGAACATTTGGCGAAAATTACCTACAAACAGGCTCAATCCGTGCCCTTTAATAAAACTACGAAACCAATCTTTATTCCTAATAAGCCTGAATTTTCCTTTGCTAGTGTTGAATATATGAGGAAATACAATCTAATTTCTAATAACAAAGGTATGTTAAATACCATAAAATTTAAGAAATATTAATCATTGATTTCATCACCTATTTTTATTTTCAGACATGAAATCAAAGGATACGGTACAAGTCCCTAAAACCTCAAATCCACAAAAACCAGAAGGGCCAAAGATACTTGACATTACTGCTTTAAAAATGCAGCCAAAATTATTATGAAAATACAAATAAATGCAATAGAACACTAATATAATGTAAGTTAAGTACTTCAATGTTAATTAATTAGTTTTTACCTTTATTGTTGACAATAAAGCCTTTTCGTTACAGGTAAACACTAATCCATTTTTTATTAATCAATTAATAAAATAATGAACTTTTTTATGTCTTAACATATTCTAGTTTAAATAAATTTACAGCCTGTTATAACAGCTTTATTCTCTAAGTTAAAGTGCTCTACTAATATCTTTTAAGGAAAATAAATAATCTATTTACAAAAAAAATCTACGAGATTTCTATAATTCAAACACTAAATGATTCACCACATCCACAAGTCCCTTTGATATTGGGGTTATTAAAAACGAACTCTGAGCTGAGTTTATTTTCCACATAATCCATTTCAGTTCCAAGTAGTGTGAGTTGCGCTTTTTTATCAATAAAAATTTTAACTCCATCTTGCACCACTTCTTCATCCATCGATTCTGTTAAACAATGAAGGGCATTTTAAAAGGAAGTGTTTAAGTATTTAACTTACCTTTCTTTGCTGCGTAATCCAAAGTATATGACAATCCGTTGCAACCTCTTTGACGTACTCCAATTTTTAAACCTATCTGCAAATTTTGACACATAGTATCTCTTCAGTAAATTAAACCTTTACTTACATATTCATTTTTATCTTTCAGTATACTTTTTATTTGATTTACTGCTGAAGGGGTCTAGAAAAAATACTTTCTGTAATTTGCAATAATTTGGAGGTTATGGGTATTTATATAATTAAATTCATTTGGAAAATAAACCTTACCAGAACTAAAGCTGCTCTGGTAGGCAATAATTTTCTTTTTACAGCCCTGACTGTGGCTGTCGCTACGGATTTTGCGGCCATAATTTAAATAAATTATTTGATTTTTGTTAAAGTAAACAATTATTATTAGCTGTCACTACTGTCAGCTGTAATTTTGAACCATAGAAAATATAGTACTATATTTTCTATGTTTTGAACCACCGGCAGCTCAGTGCCTTTCGATTGGAAAAAAATAGTAGCTAGTAGCAACTCGGAGTTAATCTGAACTGATATTATTTGTTGTTAATTCTATGATCACATATGCATGTGGATCCAAGTTAAAGCGCTCTGATCGATTTGCAATGTCTGTCGCATAAGAGCTGTTTTCTTTTATTCATGATTTCGGAATCATAACGCGTTATGATCTGAAATCTAGCGATCTGATTGGTTTCCATCGGATCGTAACACGTTATGATTCCGAAATCATGAGTAAAAGAAAAGGGCTAAGGTGTTGCTACACTATTCCCCTGATGCATCTTCTTAATTCTTAGGGTTTTGAAACCCCAGAAAATGTTTGAAGTTACATTATTAAGGGTTTTTTGGCGAGCCAAACCACATCAAACCCGGATAGCTCGAATTTAATTGTGTCAAGAATTTGAGTTAACATTTGACAGAACTCGCAAAAATTCTTTTGGTTTGGATATCTAATCAATAATAAAATCGTAACCTATAATCTATGATAGTGCTCGTAGCTCAAGTTGTTTGATTATTTCTTATATACTATAATTGTTATTCCTAATCTGAAATGCACATCCATGAAATAACGTTAATGTATAGATGGTTATTAAATCAAAATGGGTTTACCTTTTCACGAATATCTATTCCCACGTAAATGTATCATCTAAAAGGAAGTTAATAAAAATCTATACAGTACAATATAGAAAATGCATATCTACGATTAAAGTTATTTGGATCCTCGATTACTATTTTTTTATTATCAATTTTAAATATTACTTTGTATTTTTTGCAAAGTGAATCCATTATCAAATTTACATGTACCTCTCCAAACCTCTAAAAAAACGAAGTAGTGACTAGGTACGATGGTACGAAACAGAAAATAAATAAACAAAGATAGAAATATTAACTTAATATCCAAACCAACCCACAAGTCCGGTTTGATGGTAAGGCAAACTCTGCCAAACCGGGTTAACTACATTTCTCGCCAAAACGTCAAACCTCAACAAACTATAGTTAACCGGGTTAGCGGTTTTCTCGCCAAAAAACCCTTATTGTCGTAGTTAGTCACGAGTTAGTAGTCATCACAAATCACAGTTCTTAACTCAAGAAGAGCGCCAGAAGAAAGGGCCCTAGCCGGCGGGGCCCAGCCAGGACAAAAGGAGGTCCCACAAAGCGCCTACACCGGCCGCATTTGCGGTCGGGGTAGACGACGGATGGGGCCCACCTACGAAGGCTGTCCAGGCCTACACGAGATGAGGCAGGATAAAGAGGGATAATCCCTCTCGATCCCAAATCATTGAGGCCAATTTCTAGCCATGGAATAATGGCGAGTTCTTAACTCAAGAATAAAAAATATCGACGTCAAAAATTGATACACAAAAAATATTTTTAATTTTTTTTAACAAATAATTTTAGCATCTCCCCAAAGGGGATAACATGAATGACAAAAATTTTCTTTCGTTTTGTCATAGTAAAAACTTTTCCATGTCTATAATCCGTGAACTATTCGTAGAGAATTTCATACTTAAGAGATTAGTTGTATATTATTAGCTCTTATAAAGCCGTTCAGGTTCATATATTTTGTCAGACAGTTCTATTGATTGTAAAATTTTGAGCAAATAAAATAACTGTCCCATATTTATTTCCATAATCAAATACTATCGATTATATTCTATAGTGACAGCTATCGATAATTATCGATAGTTCTCTACTTCTACTACAGGCCAGGGGCGCTTTCGTTTTAGCAAAAATAGTACCTATTATAGCGATTAACATCAGTTCAAAGTAACTTTAAGTTGCTATTTGCTCGTTGCTATCGAAAGGCCCTCAGGGAGAGCATTCTTAATGTTGTGCGATCAAACGCACATAAAGTGTTATGTGATCCAATGCACACGAGTGTGATGTGTGATATTCATACATGGGAGTGAATATATCAAATTTCAATTTTACTATTGTTTAACATAAACACAGATCAATTTTTGTACTGTCTTAAGTTCACTATTTCCAATTTTTGGTTGTTCTTACAAAAATAAAGCTCACACAATATGTTACATGAAAGAACTATTTAAACCTTTTACCAATCTGTGGGAAACGTTGCTTACAAGATCAATGTGAAAAATCGTATCGTATAGTATTGTATATTTTGTTATGTTGGCTGCCATGCAGTTGGGTTTTTTTTTATGGGTGACTAAAAACATCTGTATTCTGAATTTTGTTAAGGTCACTGATAAAGTTCATTGTTTTCGTGAAGAACAATATTAACAAAGTTAGAGCTCGTGCATCCAACTACTTCCTTTTATTAATCATTTAAGATGAGCTTCCTGTTGTAAGTACGATTACATCGCTTTCTATTACTTGGTATTCTATTTTTAACTCGACTTATTTTGGTATTTATATTGATGTATCTCCTCTAGTGGAAGCCGTTCCTCTAAAACTTTTAAACCGAAAAAGAACATACCAGAAGGAACACACCAATATGAGTTGATGAAACATGCAGCTGCAACTTTGGGATCAGGAAACTTACGATTAGCTGTGATGCTCCCCGAAGGAGAAGACTTAAATGAATGGGTTGCTGTGAATAGTAGGTCCTTTCAGGTGATAATTAACTATGTAACCATTTAATGCTTGTTTTTTTTAAGCTGTGGACTTTTTCAATCAAATCAATATGTTGTATGGAACAATAACCGAGTTCTGCACAGAAGATAGTTGTCCTATAATGTCAGCAGGCCCGAAATATGAGTACCATTGGGCAGATGGTCATACGGTGAAAAAGCCTATTAAATGTTCAGCTCCCAAATATATTGATTATCTGATGACCTGGGTGCAGGATCAGTTGGACGATGAGACTTTATTTCCTTCAAAAATAGGTACATTTATGATTCTAAATCAATTTTTGAATGTAATGCATGTTGTTCTACTCTAGTTCAGAGATTTTAGTATTTTAAAATTTTTAGGAGTACCTTTTCCAAAAAATTTCCAGTCTATCGCAAAGACAATCTTGAAAAGATTGTTTAGAGTTTATGCCCACATTTATCATCAACACTTTGGTGAGGTGGTGCAACTAGGAGAAGAAGCACATCTGAATACGTCTTTCAAACATTTCATATTCTTTGTTCAGGTTAGTTTTCGGTTGTTATAAACTTTTTATTTGTTTATTCACAACGTATTTCTAGGAATTCAACTTAATAGAGAGAAGAGAACTGGCTCCTTTGCAAGAATTAATTGATAAATTAACAGCCAAGGAGGCGCGATGAATATATTTGCCAGGAGTTCTTATACACTGCATTTAATTTGCCTCCCTATTTGCTTTATTTTTTTCTGTGGTACGTAACACTATTTAGTAATAGTTATTTTGTTACGTGTAAGGAATGAGTGCAAAAGTCTTGATTGAATTTATGTAATTTTAAAAATATATTTTGCGAGGTTAAGATAGCGAATTAATTTTATTGTTTCGAATGTAATGTAAAATTAGGAAATCATAGCACGAGAATTAGTTATTTATATTACTAGGTTTATAAACACGTTTCCGCAGTACCACAAATTTAATGAAGGGATCTTACGTTGACTATTTGAGTCTTTCCGATAAGTAATCATAACAGGGTTCATTTTTTTAGTTTATATGTATACGCAAAAAATATGCACACTTTAAGTTAAGTCTGTTGTGCATCTATCTTTTGCATCATGTGCAATGTTTATATTTTTGACTCTACAAACACGTGTATTCAAAGTTGTATTTGCATTTCTTTGGCTTGCCATAAAGAAAATAAACTTACACGAAACTACATATTAAAGTGTACTTAATGTGCATTCTGTTATACGAAATGCAAAGAAATGTAAACTACCGCAAATTTGATATTTAGAGTAGGTGGGTCATGCTTGCTTCATCGCATTTTTTTAATAGGCATATGTAGTTCGACATGTATTTTCATACACCATAAAAAAACATATTTTTTGACTCATTATACACAACTATACATTGTAAATTAGCAGTCCTTATTATAATTTTCTCATAATAATTTATTTGATTTGTTGTTACTTTATAAGTTGATTAAGAAATAGCGTTGTATGACACTAATTTGTATATATATTAATAAATTTTTGTAGATTATAAAAAGCAGTTTTGATTATTCATTAACCACACTATTAACTCAACGTAAATATAAAAAAAATTTCTCATACTGACAAGTTCGACACACTTTATTTTACTTTCTTGGCTTTTATTTATTTATTTACTGTGATAATTTTATTACGAATCTGAAATAAATTTTTCCTTTTAAATCAAGCAGTCGTGTTATCATTTGTTTGCGAACTCGGTTGTATGTCTGTGTTGTCTGTTGTTACCATTTTAAACTAACTGTACAAAACTAATTGTAAGTTGCAAAGAGGGAAACTCTAACAGAAAATAATTTTGTAGAATTGCGACACATTCTAAATTCATCAAATCTTTTGTCTAAGTGGGTGATGCCAAACAAAAAAAATTTTGATATTAACTAATTGATATGTGGGTATGCAAAATGTATAAAAATACTTACTAATCTGATAGATTTTAAATATTTTTTAAAAATCCAGGTTTTTAATAAAAATTTACTACACAGGGTGTTTCGCATAAGAACAGCACAGAGTAGGGACATGCAGGGTTAGTTATATGTACTTGAAACTTAGAAAAATCAAATTTGGTACACGGTGAGTGTACCAAGAGCATTAATCAACGGTAACTAGAGTTCAATTGAAGTATTTTAATGGGTTGATAAGGAATGAAGCTCAATTAAAATGTGACATAATTTTTTAACCCGTTGGTGGACTTAAAGAAATTATTACTTTATTTTAAGGGGAATTTAATTCTAAAATATTTCTTATTCTCGTAGTTTTCAAAAAACAGTTGTTTTCAACAAAAACACGATTAAGTAATACGTACGTATTGTAGCTATTATTTAAAATCATCAAAAATTCTAAAGTTGGCTATGAATTTAAACTTCTAAAGTACTGTTTAGTTTATATATTTCAATGTCAACGACCTCTCAGATGATTCTGGTTGATGTGCACTATGTAATATCAATCCACTAGGTGGGCAAAAACCAAACGACCAATGTTAATTTGCCAAAATGAAAATAGTTAATATGACAGGCATTATTTTATTGCATTTATTTCCGTTTTTTGTTTATTGGTTTACAATATGTTTGTAATATGAGGAATTTATTAAGTTTAAGTTTATTGCAAAATTTAAATTGATTATTTCGATAAGTGTCTTGTGTAGTGTAAAAGTATAACCTTATAGCAATTTATTTAAGCGTTTAGTGACGTTACCGTGTATTTGTGTGTCTACATTATTAAATTTCTGTGCAATATTATGGAAAAAGATGTATACCTACGAATCAAAAAATATTTGACAATGCATATCGTAGGCTGTCCAATGGCGGGGCAAAAAAATTACGAAAATAGATTGAATTAAAATTGTTTTTAGGGTGGAATTTGAGAAAACAAACCTGTGTTTTTAAAGGTCGATGGTAGCTTCCATTTAAACTTAAACGTTGCATACCTAACGTTGAATACTTATAATAAAATGAGAAGCTGGTAATATGCAATAGGATTTAGTCATAACGTCATACCAACTACTACTAAACTCTACTGTATTTAACAATTTTTTTCTTGTCTCTGATTTTTTTTGCTTATTTGTTATCTCTAATTAATAACAGGAATAATGACATGAATTAAAAAACAAATTGTTAAAAAAAATGGGACTACAGTCTTGGGCGTAGCCAGGGAAACCACGCTCTCCCCCCTGATTCCTGCTGCATGCTGTAAGTTTCAAAAGTTACATTATTACTGGACATTCGTTCTGTATAGTTCTGTCAGATTGGATCACTTTAGGCCACTATTTGCTTTTGGCCGTTGGGTGTTTTGCACTAAATTCCTCGGTTTAACCATGTATTCTTGGTATTTCTGAAACCATGATTGTACATATTATGCCCTTTGGATATGCCCACTTTCAAGTAGATATTTGCTAGTTTACTACCCCTACTACTATTTTTGAGGAAAAAACTTATTCTCTCTTGCATTCTATGATTCCTATGCTGCAAATTGAAATATCAAAAAAAATGTATCCTTCGCTTTATAATAAGAGACATAAATAAAAAACAACTTAGAAATTTGAGCCCATTTTTAGAGGTGTGTTGATGTAAAATGTATGTTTAAAATTATATTACCGAAAAAAATTGGTTTTAGTGATATTGTTTACATATTGCTGTGTGATCTACAACTAACCAAAATAACTTCTCTGTGGACTACATGCCCGTACAACATTAAATTACTTACAACCCCAAATATCATCAAACAAACAGATCATTCCTTAGCAGCATGGATTCGAATTTATTAGTTCACATCAGTACAACCATAGATCTAATATAGTATACTAATTAGATCTATAAGTATAGTTTTAAATACTGATGGGATATCGAGATATAACCTACAAACTATATGTCATATCTTAAATGTCATTGCTACTCAATGCCTACTGGCACAAAGCATTATTTTGTACCTACTAGTAGAGTGGCGTACTAATCTGTAGGTGCTATGAAAGCGTTATTTATTTGAAACAACTACTCTATTGAAGCATGTAATTCGCAAACTAATTGTTTCTCACAATATCATAAAAAAGTTTATTTCACCTAGTATGAAACAAATGGCTTTCATTGTACACACCTACAGATTCTGTACCTATAGGTACATTGAATAGCATTGACACAAGACGCTACTCATACTTTGTTACCTCTTCTCCACTCTTGGACTAGCGAGGAAAAAGCGTGCGGGGATCGAAAATCCATAGACGTAACTGTTTAGAAGGCAACAAGATATAGCAAATATGGAGAAAAGATACTAAAACATAATATGTATTATTTTTAGAGGTTTCATCAAGAAAACTTAAATATTTTAGCAAGATCGACGACCCACCACCACCACCTGGCTTATGCTGCTGCAAGATATTGTAACGTTGACTATTAATATATTTAAGTACTTATATAATTATATCTCACACGAATATTGTCACTGTTACATTTTCACTTCACTGTCACATATTCACTTCACTATCATATTTTTAGTTTACTGTCACTATACAGGCTGTTACAAATTCGCTTCTCACTACAGGGATCTCGGAAACAGTAAGAGGTACGAAGTAGCTTAAGTGGGGGCAATTTTGGAAATCCGTTTTTTGTTTCATTTCAGCCTTGTTTGAGGTGATATTGAAAAAAGAAGAACACTTTTTCGTGGCCACTTTTTGCCCTCTATCGAATGGCATAATCAATTTTTATATGTAACATTTCATTTCTCCAGGACCATCATCTTAATTTTTTTTAAATACGACCCTAGAAATTTTATTACATTTTTTGCAAGACTTCTATCCCCAATACAGTACTGCATCAGCCCGAACCAGATTCAGACGTTTTGCCTCGAAAAATTCATCTTCAATGTATTCGTTCCAAATTTATCTAAATTTTTTATTTAGGGATCTTTGTTTATTGAATTATCATACAACAGCTATATAAGTAATCCACTAAAAATGCATTTCCCAATAGACATAGAACTCAGTCTATAGACGACTATAGATTCTATCGGATGCGCATAGAGAGCAGCACATGATTTAATACAAGACAAATAATATTGAACCGTTATAAAAATCTTTTTATATTTTATACGCTTTATGGTAATAATGTTTTTATATTATGTCTGGGCCACTCTTCATAATTTCGACCTAAAAGTATAGTACGTTCAATAAAGTTTTTCTTCCGCAAAGTATTTTACTTGTAAAACCAGCCTTTCTAAAACAAAACGAAGTGAAGAATACTGAAAATAATTTTATTTTTCACAGATACAAAAACGGAGGATACACATTTTGCTTAAAAGAAAATTTGGTTAACACAAAAACACATTAATACATGGCATTGTCTCTCTACCAATTCTAAGGGTAAATAAAACTTATAATATTAGGAACCCTCATTTAAATTTTACAAGTTCAGTATTGACGGCTGAGCAGAAAACATTGTACCGATACAAAAATTTACTCTGCCACATAAAGAAAACTACTACTAACTGATAAAATAAAACTGTCTTTCTGGTATAAAAAAAAAATGAGCAAAAGTTCCCATTGTTTCATTATTATGCATGACTTTATCCTACAAGTATTAAGTAATCGTATTAGATAAGTTTCGTGCGTATAAAAATGTCTCAATAGCAGCTCGAAGGAATCGTTTTCCACTAAAACATCCTTACTGCATTAAATAAATAATACCTTAAAATATTCCGAGTAAAAAAGAAATGGCATACACGATCGCCCAGATACATGCGTCCCAATTTTTATGTGTAAAAAGTCCTTACAAATGTAAAAAACAATATTGACACAATATATGCAACTTTGGATTTAGGTAGGCCCCTGAAAAGCCAACATCACCAGTTTATATAAATCTTATTTATTGGGGCTCACCCTGTAGAGTTACCAGTAGCTACTGAAGTTATCTTCATTTATTTTGAAAACGGTTCCTTGTATTGCACAACCTTTGCACTTAATGCCGACATTTTTGCAAGATCTACCCAAATCCCAAAGTTTGTCCACCATTTCTTGACATTCTGTATAACTTTCTTAAAATTGCATATCCTAAGCCTGTTACAATTTTTTTAGACGCCAATTTTCTAAATCCAAAATATAATAACACTATTCTACATTTCTTACCCTACTGCCATTTTTTTCAATAATCAGGGATTAAGCACATGCATAAAATGAAAAGTATAGCAGATCCGTTACATTTTTAAATTTGTGTATAAAATTTAGATAATTCCTTCTAGAAATTGCATACAAGCTTTTTGAGGTGTATACAATTTTACTTTACTTGATTTCCGATAAAATCCCTATTCTGCAAAAATTGTCACAAAAAATCATAGCAAAGTTAAAATTTGCAGTTTTGAGAAAGTTATGGTTACCAAATAATCCCATATTTACGGTTTATTTCATAAAAAACATTTACACTTCGTTTCTTTTTTTCCTGTTAACTGCCTAAAAATTGGGGCACCCTGTATATGAAACAGTACAGAAATCGAACAGGAGTAGCTATTGAGGACATCACCACACCACATAAAAGGACAATGATCTTATCTTACTTGGCTGTAAGATTATATTAATTGTGCTACGATATTATATACACCTATATATAGTACTGACTGAAGTTTACCTGGAATTTTTTATTTATTGGCAAATTAAATCGAAAACTCAAAAGTTTCATAATAAAATAAACGTACACGAACCATTCGGCTTGTAACATTCTAATTTGTAAGATTTATAGGGTATGAACAGTTTCTAGGCCAAAAATCGAAGCTCGTCACAAAACAGTTACTGTGCTTCAAATTTTTCCTCAGGATGGAACTTTAGTCTAATGGGAATAACTTGAAAATTGGTAGCTATGGTGATTGTTTTAAAAATTGTTCAAGGCATTTTTCATCAAACGTAAGTTTAAATTTTCCAATTTTCTAAGACAATGTTCTCCCGAGACATTTTGAACTCTCAGAAAAAAAAAGTAAATAAATTTAAAATCACTCGCAAGAACTTTTCAAATTAACGTAAAAACAAAAACTGCAAAAACCCCCTGAACATTGTCTTTCCCAAAGCCGATTTTCTACCAATGGTTAAGTTTACAGTTAACGTACGACGGATAAGGTATCATGAATCGCCGGGGAGCACGATTACAGCCGTCTCCTACCTGGGCCGTAACCGGAGCTCCCATTGCTGGAACTACCCGCGGAATTCAAGAATAATTCGATGTAACGGTGCTGCATATGACCCTTGTCCTTGCTCATAGCCCTGACGGCGTCGTCGTGGGAGGCGAACTCTACATCCGCTTCGCCAGAGGCCCGACCCGTATGGTCTTGCAGTAGCCGGACGTTAACTGGGATAACAGGCTTGAAAAACTGAAAAAGAATGTTTGACATATGTCCTTTCGACTGTATCAACAGTGAAATACTCACGTCTAAGATATCGGACTGTGTCGCTTTGAACGGCAAGCCTCTCATGTGTACACAGTGCATTCCCGCGCTGCGTTCACTCCCGCCACCCCACGAATCCATGTAGGGACTTCGGGGCCCCCCTATTTCGCTGCCGTTACGACTGTTGCTCAGCCAAGGCGACGGGCGGTCGTAACTGTTGTAATCTAGAAATTACTTAATGATAAGGAATAGGCTGAATAAAACGATGGGTGGTGTTAAATGTAAAAATAGCAAGACGATATTTGCAACTAAAAATTGTACACTGTGTCCAAGATGAAGATGTCTGTTGTGGGGATACCGAAAGCAGTTAAAGATTGCTTAAATTAGAAATTAGTTGAGTTGATTTGGTATAAACAGATATAAAGGGTGATCTAGAAGTGTACAAAAAAATTAGGATGGAAAAAAGATCAAGATAAGATCATGTTCTTCTGTAGGCCATGGGCCTGTCATCTTTTGTTTTTGAGATTCAGGGTATCAAAGAAACCTAATTTTAGTTATATCTTGTCCATAAAAAAGAATGTATTATATTTAAATGTGCTGCAGGTAATTTTTGAAAGGTGCTAATTATGTCAATGTTAGTTTTTGATCATCTGCTGCTATTTCTCTAAGTGACGTTTTGTAACATTAACATTTTTTGATGTTAGTTGAAGTTATAGTACATTCAACCACTACATAGCTTGACAACTGTAGTCTCAGCATCATTCGCAATACGCGTGGAGAGTCACGTTGCCTCAGCGACTCCGAATATTGAAATCCGATTTTGCAATCGTCGTTGTGATAGTGTTTACCTGTTATCTGTGGTGTTTACAAATTTTTTAGTAGTTGGTGTCAAAAATGGTTTGCGTGTATAGCAACTCGTAGTTGATAGATATCGTTTTAATTTATGGTGAAGCAAGACATTTGTTAGTTTGTAGAAACTGAGCAAGATGGACCTAAATGTGTTTACACATTGGTGAATAAAATTTTGAACAATTGTAGTTGTAACATCAGGTATGACAAATGATTTTATTATTTAAAAACACACATTAATTTTATTAATTAATAAATGCAAAAGCAGTTGAATTTGCCGATATAAAATAGGTGCTATAAAATTGTATTTATTTCTTTTCTTGCGAAAGTTTTTGTCCGTTTTTATCACACCACCATGCCGGTCGCATTGTGCGAGGTCTGGTTTTACAGTGGACCAGTTTCCAGTGCCATCCAGAAGTGTACTTTTTAAATCATTTTCGAACTGCCCTTTTTGATTTTTTCTTTACAAAATTGTATTTGTAAGGGTCCCCTGTACATCTAGAATTTTTTTTTTTTTTGATAAATTCTCAATCACTGTATATCTTCAGAAATGATATTTGCTTGAAAATTTTGAAGATAAATAAATTCTCAAAACGCTTTTATATTTTGAATGGCTGCCAAGACGAACTTTCACTTGTACTGTACAGAATGATCAAAATTTAAGTGACAATTTTCAAACATTTTTAAAGAGTGGCACAAAATAATCATCAATTCCATTTTTTAAAATCTCTTATAAAATACAAATTTTTTGTTGTTTAAAAATAAAATAATCAAAGAATATATTTTTTTTCAATTATCTTAAAAGGTTTCATAAGATTTATATATCAACAGCAAATGAGAAGCATTTTTAAAAGAATCTTCCAAGGGTTAAAAGCACTTAGAGAAAGAGACGGAAGTAAATGCAGATTTTTAGATAATAGTTCACGTGTTTGTGTTACTATGAACAGGAAATTACCCTGAGATCATGGACCGTGGGGAATTTGAAAAATGGTTAGCTTCCACTTTGCCTCACATCAAATCTAGTGTATTAATTGTCATGAATGTCATCTTATCATAGTCGACGAATAGAAAAATTGCCAGTATCAGCATGCGGAAAAAATAGATCAGGAATGGTTGAATGGAAAATGTATTGAATAAAAATACACGACATTAAGGAGGGTTATCTGATTTGGAATTGACGAAAAAATATTCATAAAAAAATTAATATAAGTTTATTAATATGAAGAAAATCCTCAAAAAAAATTTGACTAGTTTGGTAGACTAAGGACGAGATATTAATAAAATAATTTTTCACTATTTAATACAGTCTTATGAGAATGCAAATGTTTTTTGGTCTTTCCACTTAGAATGCGCAACAATTGACGAACAATTTCCACAGTAACTTGTATAAATAGGAAACCGATATCTAAGGAACCGTATGACAGCTCGTAGAAATCGATTAGGTACTTGTAAGATACATAATTTATAATAATTCTCCTTCAAACTGCTGTCATTGACTAACTTAACCGCCTTATGCGTGATAGCGGCAACGCTGCAGTTCTCGAAGTAGTGTATTATTTGAAATTCGCAGGTGTGACATATGATGTATATTTCAAGCTAAGGCATCCAAACAAAGCCAGCCAAGTGCAACGTTGCCAAATCTAAAGGCTTACTACTTTAGTCACTAGCAAATCTACAGAAACACTCGTTAGACTTTAGACATACCTCCGTACCCGATAAACCTCCTTAAGAGTACAATTACTAGCAATTGTTCAAAAAGAAGCGGGCGAAATGGCTAAAGTTAGGGGTGTTACACTTCTTCAATTCTGGGCAAATATAAAATCTCATATATCATGAAATAATACAGCTTTTATATTACGACATGGAACTTGGATACAAGAGTTGAAGTTACAATAGAATCTCTTATCATATTTTTAGGTGACAGTACTCATAGCGTTAGTGACGTGATGCTTACTATTTTAATAATTTCTCAAAAAATAACTGAATTCGCATTTTTATTGAAAATAATAAATGGGATTAATGTATTTACATGAAAAATGTTGCACGAGATAAAACTAAGAATCTTTTAAAAGCAATAAGGATGTTGGTGGTTTACCTGACCCGTTATTTGAAAAATTGGCACCTTTAAAACTGCGAGAGCCTCTCGACTGGAATCTGCCACTGCTTCCATAGCGGTCACGGTCCCTGTCGTATGGACCAGGTCGTGAGTTGTACATGCCGGATCCGGAGCCACCCCTCCTACCTTGGTAACCAAGGACGCTGTTAACCTCCGAAAGGCTGCTGCGGAATATTTCTATGTACCTGCGGAGTAATCGTGGAGTTTCAAGATTCGCTACGACATTTAACTATTTAGAAGTCTATGAACGGGTACTGTTAAACTACAAAAAACCTACGCTTTGTTACGAAATATTATGGGGTCTCTTTAGCTTTTTGTTATTAACTTTAATCATGCACTTATGATAAATTGTTTAGCGTATCTCTACAATCAGTTGACAATGTGTAAGGTCCCGGAAATAGGAGAAAAACAAATTTCGAATCAGCATAAAAAAATGTGTCCACGTATAGATCAATAGTTTAACTGTTTTAATAGCATTTTTCTAATTTTATTTTATAAGACATGAAATAAATATAATTACTCAAAGAAATATAATTTTAAACTAACACCTTTTTGTTACGATGGCGTCATCAAGTTATATTTACACTAATTTGTTTCCAAGGGTAAATACATATTTTGAATTGTTTCTATTTTGTTATAGAAAATTGACAAGATTAAATATATTCGATTTTACATTAATGTTTTATTTAAAAGCAAAAATATTAATACCATTGTGTCAACATTTCTGTTTAGTATTCATATTTGCAAAAAACTACAATTATTTAAAACAAAAAAATATAAACATTTTTTGGCACATTTAATTTTCGTTTTACTCATACTCTAGTATTTTACCTAAATATTGTCTATAATTATTATTTGACATTTTTTTAGTACTTTTTTCATTTAATTGGGCATTTCTGCCACCTGAAAAGGAAAATAGATAATTTTTCCAGATTGTAACAATTATCTACTTTCTCCGCACAAGACATTTCCAGTTAGGCAAAACTAAGTTTAAAATCTATCGCTTGACCGATCCTTTATTTAAGATTTGTTTAAACGTTCTGTTCCTTGTGTGGAGGAAATATCTAACTAAATAAAAAAGTACTAACTTACCTAGATTACATTTTTACAAAAGGTTAACCTTGGAAGAAAATTGTCAAAACCAGGTATGAAATAATTTGTAAATATGCAATAAAATTAAATAACTGGAAGTTTTAATTATTATCCATATTTCTAGTGTCCTGTTTATAAATACAAAAACTTTACCCCGACAAAAATATCATACATCTCATTTCAGGATGAAAAAAGTCCTATAAAGAAATGTTCAGAAATATATATATTTTTTTAAACTAATTATTTAATTTATGATGAAAATCTGCTTAACCAACATATGTTGTAAATGCCACTTTTAAATATAAAGTAAATTTTTAATACCCCTTTAACCCTTTCGCTGCGCAATACGTCTGAACGTAGCTACCGCGCCGTGCGCAAAAGTTTATCGTGTGCGAATATATACGTCTGGATCAGTTAGACCACTTATAGTTTTACATAAAATAAAATACAGTATATGTACTAAATAGAAACTGAAAGAAACATGAACAATATTGGTACTATTACCAGTACCACTTTCCATACAAATATTTGTCACAATCGGTAAAAGCTCGCCCGCAAAAATTCGCCTTACCAATTGCAATAACCGAGTCACTATGCACACGGTTGCGAATATATACAGCTTGAGCAGCCTGATCCAATTTAACTATTCGTGCGAATTAATCCGTCTGGAGCAGTTTGAGCCCTATAAATTTTTAGCGAATATATACGTCTGGAGCAGTGAAAGGGTTAAAAATTGATTTATATGGGACAATTTTAAAGAATTTTTAAAAAATTTTAGTCAATAACAAGTTACAGAATCAGAAATAAACTTAATGGTCCTTAAAATGTGAAGGCCTTGAAATTTTAAGCGAATTGTTACGGAATAGATCTGTTATTCTTAATTCAGTTAGGAATGCCCTTATATGAATAAACAGGACACGAATAAGTAAAAGAGGGAACAACTGAAACCCGTCTTACGCATACATAATTTAAGAAATAAATAAATAAAAATATGTTGTAGGAGGATGACCCTATCCCTCCCGCATACCCCACCTGTGTCCGATCTTTTCTCGGTGTTTCTGCAGAGCTTTCTCTGCCACTTCTCTGTTTACGAACTGTACGTACGCCTCCCCAGAACTCCGCCCCGAGTAGTCAGTCAGAAGAGTTATTCCGTTGGGCACTATCTCCAACCCTACCCAAACAACCCAAGCGATCAAGCCCTTGAACTCAAAATTTTTTTCATAATATAAACTCACTGCTAGGTACTGCAATCAATTGGTCCTGGAGGACGCCTAACACGGGAAGATTTAGTAAAATATTGCATTTGTTCTAAACAGAAGTAATTTCCCAAATACCATAAAAATTTATAAAGTTCGCTTACATTCCTTATGGATCATTTATAAACTTTTTCCACTGACATTCTCATTACCTAAGACATGTATCTACACCCTTCATTATTTGTCCTTCCCATTTGTTGGTGACCAACAGGAAGAAAATGTGTAGGTACATTTCTTACATAACAGGAATAGGAGAGGAAAAAGAAAATGTCTATAAATTGGCGTTTATTCATACAGTGTGTCTATGTGTGTGTTCAGTACAGTGTGTCCACGGATTGAGTGCACGTGGGGTGTAAATGTCAAAAATTTTTCGACTTGAAATTTGAGCTTCTGGCCTTCATCTCTGCTTGACGTTAAACGAAGTTGAAAAAATTAGTCGAATTAATTATTGCACAGTGTTTTTATGATGAATTTTCAAAAATTGTTAAGAGTAGAGTACCTGTCTTTAAAAATATAAAAAATATTTATTTAAGAAAGTTATTGAGAACTAAAAGTTATGACAGATTGTCAATATTAAATTTGATCGGCCACATTTGTTTTTTTTTCTTTACTATCAACAATCATTCGAGAATGGCTAGATGGTCAATTTCCTGGACGGTGGATTGGGCGATATGGCTCAATTCCTTGTCCTCCTAGAAGTCCTGATTTAACTCCAATGGACTTTTATTTATGGGGCTATCTCAAACAGAAAGTCTATGGGTCCCTGTTGAATAACGATTTATTTGAATTGAAACGAAGAATAAAATATACAATGAATGCCATCGTCTTTCAAGAAATCCAAAATGCCTACATAGAATTTACCAAGTGCACTGAGCGATGTGTAGTGGTTGGTAGCAGCACATTTAAATAACCATTATATTATTTGTTTATTTATGTTTATTATATTAGTTACGTTTTTTTCTCTAATAAATAATTAGGAATTTATACTTTGTGGTTGTGAAAAATTAAAAAAAAACAAAGTTGGCTGATCAAGTTGAAAATTGACAATCTGTCATAACTTTTAGTTCTCAATAATTTTTCGTAAGTAAATATTCTTGATTAAAAACAAAGTGACTTTACTCTTGACAGTTTTTGAAAATTCATCATAAAAACACCCTGTACATTAATTAACTGAACTAATTTTTTCAACTTTCTAATTTAAAGCCAAGCAGAGATGATACCTAGAAGCTCAAATTTCAACTCGAAAATTTTTGTCATTTACATCCCACATGCACTCAATCGGTGGACACACTGTATATACATGAAAATATTATAGTGGATTATTTAGACACAAACTAATCATACTTTCTTTACTGTGGTATATTACAGGGTGTATACTAAATAAATGAGTTATTAGAATTTCGCCAATAAATTTCCATATTTTCTGAAAAATGTAAATGTTATTTATAATTTTGGTCCACCAAAAATAACTCCTTCTTCCTCTAAATTAAAAATTGACCAATATATTTAGATTGCACTTATTTAGTATTCAAACAAGCCAAAATTATTAAACATTTTTTGAACCATATTTTCCCACTTTGTGTTGACTTTTAAACTATTTATTAGATATACTGAAAAAAATTACTTCTTCATTTGAATTTTATTAAAAAAAAAACTTTATTAAAATTTAGCTGAAAATTCATTTTGTAACGTGACGGAAAAAATTCATGAACCACACTGGTATAGTTTGCTTCTTAGTTTTTTTTAGTGGTATGTTAACAAGTACTATTAAATTTTGCATTATCTTACCCATTTAATGTTTTTGTATATTTAATAGTTTCAAAATCCCTATTGTACAGTATTAATTAAACATGGTTCAGTAATGATTAATGTAACGAGAATATTAATATCATAATCATATTAATTCTCAACGACAGTCAACTAACAAATTTACGACAGGGGTGTTGTGGATATACGCCGTAAAATTAGTAGTAACATTCAGTGGCAAACCTTTGTAAATAAAAACTAAATTTCCTGAAAATTTGAAAAATTCTCGTAATACCTATTTCCAGATTTATAAAACTCCCTAATAATTTCAGATGGTATACACCCTGCCATAAATATCACGTCATTATTTACCGATACAGATTAGGACTTTTTCCAAAATAAATGAATTTATCAAAAATTTCAAAATGCAATATTTTAAGAAACGATTCTCCCTTTTCGACAATGTTTACAAGATTGATTCAAAAAACAAAAACATCTTTTGAAAACACATTACACAAACCATCATCACTCTTATAAACATGATTCAATAAAATCTGCTATGTTTAATACAGTTATAAAAATTACGTACCAGTGAAAAATTGGGCTATTTCTTCCTTCGAACAACCAAAAGGAAGTCCTCTTAATCTAACACAGCCATCCTCGTTAGAACCATAAGTAGGGCCCGATCTTTTTATTACCCATTCCATTTCAGCCCGATTGACTTTGAACACTATACATACGCAACATGTTAAAAATGAATAAAAAATGATAAGTTTTAACTTACCTTCAATGTATCTGTTTCCTATATGTTCCCTATCTTTTTGTATGGCAATTTCTACATCTTCTGCGTCCTCAAATTCTACAAAAGCTTCACCACTCGGGCGACCTTCTCGAGAAGATGTCATGTGGACGCCGAATTTGCCTCCAAGTATCTTGCAGTCTCTAAAGAACTTTTGAATATCATCTGTTGTTGCTGACCAAGGCAGTCCTCGCAACTTTACGATATTTCCTTCTTCACTGTCGCCTCCCCCAGACATTTTTCTGAAAGCTTTGTCAGTCACTAGCTGCAATCGAATATTTTTCTATAAACGCTACCTTATTGGACAGCAAGCTTTGTGTGGCTTATTGAGTTGATCTAAACAATAAATGTTCTGTTTTTTTTTTGCGATAATATTAAAGCCGAATAATCACAAGCACAAACCAACCCAGAATCCCACCAAAATAAAATGGCGGAACAACACAACAAAATTCCATAAGTCAAAAATACAGTGGCACCAATATAACAATTAAGAATTTAATTTATCACATTCTTTTCGGTGAACTTCATAAACCGTGGAGCATATACTACATGGAGAAAGCATGCTCACAGCGACAGTGTACACGAGTGGGAGAGAAAGAAAGAGATACTTTGAGACGTATGTTTCTCTCTCACGCAAGCAGGTGATTGACTAAGGCCGGTGTCCCATGCAACCGCGCGCCATTATTCCATGGCTAGAAATTGGCCTCAATGATTTGGGATCGAGGGGGATTATCCCTCTTTATCCTGCCTCATCTCGTGTAGGCCTGGACAGCCTTCGTAGGTGGGCCCCATCCGTCGTCTACCCCGACCGCAAATGCGGCCGGTGTAGGCGCTTTGTGGGACCTCCTTTTGTCCTGGCTGGGCCCCGCCGGCTAGGGCCCTTTCTTCTGGCGCTCTTCTTGCTTCGCCGGCTCGTCTGTGTAAACCCCGGGGGTAGTGTCATGTTTATGTGTGGTATGGTTGGGTAGGGTAGTGCGGCTATGCAGCCTGGGATGCGCTTTGCTAAGG